ATTTGGCAATGTCCGGAGACAAGTGCTGATTGCCACAACTGGCAAGAGGCTGGTACTGGCATTCAGTGGGTAGAGGCCAGGGATCCTGCAGTACACAGGATGTTGCCCCACAACAAAGAACTATCCCTTCCAAAATGCCAATAGTACCGAGGTTGAGAGACTCTGTTCCAGAGCAAGAAATCTGTACTTTCTGATATTTTATTTTGTGACCATTTGATTCATTTACATGAAGGAACTGAAACATCTTGGGTTGAAACACCAGTTTGGGATTTGGGACATTAATCTAGGTTAATAAGAGTCTGTGAAAAAGGTACTTAGCCTCTGTATGCCTCAGTTTCCTTACTTCCCAAAGTGTAATAAGGATGGCTTCCTACTTCAAAGGGGTTAAATAAACCTCCATGAGTGCTAATTAACTATTAGCTTCTCAGTAAAATGTTTTATAGAAATTGTGGTTCAATTTTTTATTATTATAAGTAGATCTTCATTTGTAATCAAGTAGCATGACTTCAGAAAATTAAAATGTTAAAAAATATTCTTTCAAATTCGGTTTAAGATTTTTCAATTCAAAGATGATGCTATTAAGCTCCACAATCTAATGCTTTGAACACCTGTTTTCAGTTTTTTCATTTTCCCTCGATAATGGGGAAACAGTGCTTAGCCAAGAAGCACTATAACGAGTACTCAAAACAAGTTCTTTGGGGGGAACACACCTTGCAACTAGTTATTAGTGTGTGAATATGGTCAGTTCCTCAGTCTCTCCAGGCTCAAGTTTTCATTATCTTAAAATGAGAAGAATTATGCTCATGTCACATGATTATGATCAAAATTAGTTAATATATATAAAGCACCTGTACACAGTGGGTGCTTAATAAGTGGCATTTTCTTTTCCTTCCTCTGTGCTTTCCTAAGATCTAGTCTAGAGACAATCACATTCTGGCTTGCAGGTAATGGGCAGGCACTAGCAAGCCAATAGTTTCAACCTCTTCCCCTACAAGGTGTTTCATAAAAGCTGCTCAAACATTACAAAGTTTGCCTGATAAAAATTCCTTTTTACTTCTTCCATCCCTTCTCTTCCCAAGCCAAGAATGAATATTAGAACAGCCAGGATGTAGGCTGTTAGAGGGAGGATGGGAATCACAGTGGAGAAGCAGCCACAGAGTTACCAAGAACATCAGCATGGATCAACAATTCTTTTGAAGTTAATTATTTTCAGTGGGCACAAGGAAAAGGTTTACATGGAAGATATATTAGGAAAATTGTGGCCTACAATGGTGTTTTCAATGAGCCATGTGAGTCCTGCRTATCTTAGTTTGGGGGTCCTGCAGATCACCTTAGGGTCCTGCAGAWTATCTTGGACTAGAGAATACTCAAGCTTGTGAGTGAGCCACACTTCAGTGTGTCTTCTTTGAGGTCTGCAGGGCAAGGTTCATTTTCATCTCTGTTAAGTCTTCCCGTGACCTTGGGATAATCTTTTGAGCCCAATTTCCTTATTGCCCTCACGTGATTATGTTTTGTAGTTTAAATGAGATAACACATGTGAAAGCACCTAGCATAGCACCTGAAATTTAGGCTCATAGCCAAATCTAAATCCTTAAGCAAACTTAAGCAAACCGCCCAAGGATTTCAGTGTTATTAAATAATTTCTATTTACAACAAAGTATCTTCCAAATGTATTTGATWAAAAAAAATTTGTTCCCCAAGCTTTTCTGGAGAGGGGATGGGGAATGGTAGTTCCATAGCCTGGTTAGGTTGAAATCTGCTACATAATGATACCCCTGTCTCAGGGATCCCAATCCATGCAAACATCTTGATGATTCTGGAATGTGATGCAGTTAAATTTAAAAAAAAACATGGAAATTAGTCAGCTGGCAATAACTTGATTAATTTCACCTAAAACAACATTGCCCTATATTTGTAAAATAAAATCTCGACTGATCYTTCAGGACTGACACTACATAGAAATACTACAATAGCATGACACAGCATTTGGCTTATTGATTAATAATCATATGATTGTACAGACTGTGAATCACCCCAGAATCAATTTCTAATTAGAGCTGAACTTTCAAATCCAGCAAATGTTTCCAGAATACTTCTTCAGTCAACTGAATTAACACAAACACCCACACGAATTAACAACAATAGTAAGCATCACCCCAAGTCGAATTTGTTAAGGACTTAAAGTACACAAGAGACTTTCATATATTTTATCTCACTTGTTTCCTCTAAATTGTGGTATTGTCCTGTTTCACAGAAGGTAACTAGGCGAATGGAAGAACTAGAACTCAGATTCTGTCCTTCAGCTCCAAGTCCAGTGGTTTATTATCTATTATCTATACCATAATTCCTAGGGATACTTATAATTCATATTTAAAAACAAAAATAATCTTGATAGGTAAGAATTTTTTTCTTTCTTGCTGCCTGGCCAACCAAGGTCTGCAGAAAAAGAAGGACAAGGGCAATAAACCTCCTGTTGGATTCCCTTAGTCATCTTAGCAGTTGTTAAAAGTGGACAAGAAGTTTGTTAGTTAGCACAGTGGGAAAACAGTGCACTCTTAAGCCACACTTCCTGGGCTGAATTCCAGCTCCCTCATTCATTAATTGCATTAAGCTGGAAAAAGTTACTTCCCGGCTCTGTGCTACAGTTTTCTCATCTGTATGTTGGATTATAATGGTACCTAGCTCAGGTGGTTGTGGTTATTGAATGAATAGCATGAAATAGAGGGAAAAAAATTAAATTACAAATGCCAGTGACTTACATTGTACATATAGCTAGGCTCTTGCTGGTTGTCTTGAGAAGATAAACCACTATTCAGAACATTGTTTCTTATCAGAAAAATGTGCACCAAGTTCTAGGAAATATTGACTTAAAAATGAGATTGGGGAGGCAGCAAATATTCCAGTAAAAAATTGTAAAGATAAATACTGAGTTCTACCTCCTTCTGCCCACTCTAAAGAAAATAACCTAAAGTGCATCAGAGTCAAATCAAAGTTATTTCTGTATTTCGTCCTGGGTAGACGTATATTGTAGCATTGTTTCCAATTGCTTAGATTTGAATTAGAAGCATCTTCAGCCTAGGTACATGAAAACTGATGCCCAGCACAAGCAGGAGACTCTTTAAAATAGCCTCAATTAAGATTATCACTGCACTAAGTAGATTTTGCTGTGATTCTCACATGACTTTTAGGGTTATTTTAAAACATAAATCATCCTCAAGAAGCAATGTCCTTGGTAACAACAAGGAATAAAAAGGGCACATGGGTGAAGCAATATCAATCTACTGCCACTGCTAGGGAAAGAAGATTACTATCTACCTTACATTCACATGTGGAGGACAAGAGGTCAGCAATTGGTCAGTGACAAGTCTGAATCAATATTATGTTTTTCGAGTTAAACTATTAAAAAAACCTGTTAAACCAAATAATGCCAATTTATCATTTTTGGAATAGAATTTTTAAAAAAGTTTTCTTAAGAATTACAGAATTTATTTGGAGTTGCAAATAGTTGGTATGCTTTCTTTAAAGGATGTGATACTTGTGGAGATCTCTTGGCCCACACCTGTAATTCCAGCTATTCAGAAGGTAGAGTAGGAGGTTAACAAGTTCAAGGTCCAGCCTGAGCAATTTAGGGAGAACATGTCTCAACCTAAAAAAAGAGATGGGGATGTAACTTAGTGGTAAAACCCCCAGTAGATAGACACAAACACACACACACACACACACACACACACACGAAATTTATATAGAATATATATAATGATATGAGGAATCCTTTCTCTTAGGCAAAGGCATTTAATGGGGAGGGGGTCATTCATTTTAGTTTTATAACTTCAGGAATATATTTTAATTTCAGAGGCCAGGTCTTGCTTGTTCACTCCTATTTCCCAGCTTTATATGTGCCTGGCATATACTAGCCACTTAGAAAAAGTCTGTGGAGTCTATAAATCTGGGCGAGGAACTGTACTTTATCAGGGAAATGGAGGTGGGACTGTGGGAACGCAGTTAAGGGCACCAATTTTTCCTACCAATGACTATAGAGACCTCTGCTGGCAAATGTTGGAACTGCAATTCAAGATGGGGAAGAAAAAGAATGAAAAGTGAGAAGGGTTTCTCAGTTTTCTTCTCCTCCTTTGATCATATTTTATTATAAAGGGACTATAGAAGAACTGTACTCATGTGTAGTTAAGTACGTATAAGATATGATGAATATTAAAACAAGAATGAATGACAACTTTTCTTCGAGGTGTCTGGGAAAGGCATCAAATAAAAAAGGAAAAATCACACCCAAGAAGTAAACTGACCATTTTATGACCATGTGCCAGTTAATCAATCATTCAAGGTCTATATTCCAGAGAAATCTATAGTAGGGAACCAGTCTGTGAAATTACTATAGCCTATTAATCTTGCTAATTCTGAGAACTTGTTATTCTTAGCATTGTACATTTTACATACTTCCAAATGTCACTTTATACCCGAGACTATCTTCCTCCTCACTCTATCTTATCTGTAGTAGACTTATCAACTTGTGAAGGCAGTTTAAAGTATTGGTTTGGTTTCATTTTTGGTGAGACAAGATGTTTGGCCAACCCTTCTTCAGTGCTTCATTCTTCCCTGTCGTAGATATTTTAGGCGACTATAGTTACTAAAATGGTCCTAGAGTGACATCTGGCTGCAGGTTTACACATGAGCCAGTAAGATCAGCCCTGGATACCAGAGAACTGGCAGGACAGTACCTGTGTGTGTGGAAGTGTGCATTTCCACACACAACATGAATGACACTGTACAACTTGCCTTTAACGTTTCCATACTCTGTGAGGTTATTAGCTTTCCATTACTAGGCAGTAATCAAAAGAAATTTCCTTTTCCAAAATTCTATGAGCTTATGAAATGGTCTATCAATTTATGTTCTTAGATTGTGTTTGAAAAGATCATTTCACTTTTAAAATCAGATACATTTTGGATATTTCAAGCAGGACTTTTGAATAATCAAAAGAATTTACATTTGAGGAGTGGCAGAATTCCCTGTGGGGTCCATGATTTGAAATTCCACGATATCTGAATTTACTTCCAAAGATGGGTTTATGATGTAAAGAATGGTCTTACTGTATAAGTCCTTTTGGCTAAATTTCTCATGGATAAATTCACCTACAAAAAAAGAAATCAATAAATCTCATGGATAATCATCAAAACATTACATTAGAGCTGATAAAACTGTATGTTTTATTTGAAACACAGCTTCAGAGATTAGCCAAAGTACATTGAAAAAAATAATTAACATTGCTGCAACTTATCTTAAAATTCAAATGCAATGAACCCAAATTAAGCTTTACATTTACTATTCTCCAGAAATATTTGCCTTTAAAAATATAAAAATATTGGGAAGAGTAGCAGGAAGATGTAGTAATAAATATCTATAATTCTGAACCATCCTGTTTAGTTATATATTATGATCATTGTCTTCATAAAGTAGAAATAATATACAATACAGAAAAACTGTTAGGAAACTCATTTTTTAAAGGACACATATCATTTAGAATTCATGACAGAAGTAAACATTAGTTACAAATATGAATCTGGCCCTGGCACTGTGGGTTCTTCTGAATATATTACAATCTGGCTGTTAAAAAAATAACTATAAACAGCAAACAGCTGTATATCAGTTTCTGATTCTCCTGTCAAGGTGAATTTAGCTTCAAACCCTCTTTAGCACCAATATTGATTTATAAGCTGCACGTATCAGTAAGCCCTGGAGAGTGTTTACCAAACGGACCTGCCCTTAATTAAATTACTCTCCAGTCCTGCCAGCCACTGGGTATTTTAAAATGGGCAGTTAAAAGGATTAAGGAAGCCAGTACCTGTTGTTGTGTTCTCCAAATGTCCGTGTAGTGGGCCTCGTAAAATCTTAAAGATTATCTGATGGTCCTCAGTGTCAGGGTCCGATGCCTTCAACACTCGGGAAGTGATGTAAATCCCATAATAGCCATTTTTCAGGAGTCCCACTTGTGAAGGGGAACGCAAGAGTGTGATCCGGGGGGCTATTTTATCCAAATGCTCCACCTGAATCATCAATAATTATGTACAATGTTATCCAAAAAGGTTTCCTCACCCCATGGGCTGTAGGGCTTTCGTGGTCCAACAATGACAAACTCAAATTTCAGGTTGCTCATGCTCATTTGTTGATTTCTGCTGAAGACTATCTAGTTCACAATATCCTCAGTGAATACCAGTGTCTGGAACAAAAGCCAAGTTTCTGCCAAGCTAAGTTTGTCTAATGTCTGACTCTCCCACAGGATGTAAGTTGCATGAGGGCAAAACACCATGGCTCAAGGCCTGGGCCATACCAAAGCCCAGGGAATATTCCTTGAACAAATACAAGAATTACATTGCATACTTAATATTAGTACAACAAAAGGATTTCCATATTTTTTCAGTGTTCAATGATTTATAGAAACAGTTATAAAGGTTCAAGAATACATAGATTTTTTTTAACATGCTTTTGTTCAAATGGTGAAAATGTTGAATAAAAATAGAAATTCCATAGAACTGTTATGGTTTGGATGTGAGGTGTTCCCCAAAAGTTCATGTGTGGGACGACACAAAAAGGTTTAGAGGAGCAATAATTGGGTTATAAGAGCCTTAACCCAATCAGTGAATTAATCCCCTGATGGGATTACCCAAGTGGTGACTGGTGGTGAGAAGGGTGCAGATGGAGGAGGTGAGTCATTGGAGGTGTGCCTTTTGGGTACATATTTTATTATCTGGAATGGAGTGTCTCTCTCTGCTTCCTGTTCATCGTGTGAGCCATTTTCCTCCACCACACTCTTCCGCCTCACCTTGAGCCCCAAGGAATGCAACCAGCTGTCTATAGACTAAGACCTCTGAAACCATGAGCCCCCAAATAAACTTTTCCTCCTCTACAATGGTTCTGGTTAGGTCTTTTAGTCACAGCAGCAAAACAGCTGACTAAAACAATAAGAAAATTGTGAAATGATTTTTTTTTCATACTTGTTTCATTGAGAATGAGGACCACGTGACACAAAGTAGCTTGGTTTTGTGAGGACGTGGAAGGGCGATCCATCATGAGTGGGAACAGGAGCATGTGTTCTAACTCTACAAAGGACTTCGTCCAGGTGTGGTGGCATGGAGCTCAGTCCATCTTGAAAATGACCGTGGTTGTTAGGGATGAACAGGTTTGGATAAATGAACACAAATTCAACATCAGTACCAGAAAATGGGCACAAGAGTACTGCCATCATTCAACCCACTCCTCATCTCACAATTCCCGATTTTTTCTTACCCCCAAATGATACTATCATAAGCCTTAGTTCACCCTAGTGAACCAAAGAATTCATGTCAATGGTAACATCCTACATATTCTTGTATATTATGATAAGATGAATAAGTAATAATAAGTTATTTTTCAGTTTTTCCAGAGAAGCTCCCACCCCCATGATGGCCAGTAAGAGAGATGGCTCATGGACAGAGTGCCATGTAAGAAATCCCCGAAGACAATCAAGAGCTGAATGTAGGATGGTTGTTTTAATTTTTTTGATGTCACATTTTCTTTAAAAGCAAGTGTTAAAAATGCAATCAATGCTTGTTGTAGTGTTTTGTTTAAAAAATAATAATATCTGAACTTTAGTTACATGGTCTCCTGTTGTGTCTCTGGGCATTCTCAGGCTCAAATATACCCTTGTCTTATTAAACTTCTGGCTTCTTCAAAAGCAGGTCTTCTGGATCAGTATACCAGAAGCATTTCTAAATGCTGGAGGGCAAGACTTTTAAAACAGACTACATCCCATGATAACTTGTGTTAGATTTATGCAAAACATCCCACCTATGCCAGAACCATAGAACACAGGCAGGCTCCTTTCTCCTTCACCCCAAACCCTGTCCCCCTCTATAAGAGGACTACAGGTTGCATCAATATTGGTTGATGGACATGATGAATGTTAGGTTATGCCTGCTGGTATCAGTCAAGTCCATCTGTGGTTTGCATGTATTCTTGCCCTCCATTACCCAGGTACCACCATAAAAGTTGTTCACTCATGCTTAGTAGATTTATTTGGACTAATTCATCACTCAGTGGCAGTTGAGGTCATATTGTCTCAGCAGAAAGAACTCTTACAGTCAGTAGACAAGGGTGCCATCTCTCCTACACTGCTGAAAGGGCCTGTCACTTCCTAACCGCGTTACCACTACTCGGAGAGAGCAGGAGCTTCATAGGCATTTGAGAACAAAGTATGAGGCTCTTCTCATGAGGCTTTTACACATAATAATACTGTTTTTTAAAGGAAAACCTTGTTCTTTTGATGGAAAATAAGCCTTACAACATATATCCAACATTTTTCTATCAGTAAATTCCACAACTTCCAAGAGATAACTCTATTAGAGCAAGGTCCTTAAAACAAGTTGCTGGTGTTGGGAGAGACCTGATTTAAATTCTGGTACATTCTCCAAACTCTACCCAACTTTTCCATCTCTGCTCTGAACTATAGGAAGGAACTCTTATGTCTGCACACAGAATTTATAACTCTTATAAATCTGCAGCCAAACAGACCATAAAACTATTCACTGTGGCAGGTGACACTTCTCAAACTGGAGTGGAAAGTGAGAAATCAAGAAAAAGATACTAATGACCCAAAGAATGGGAAGGAACTAATAACAATTAAGACATTAATTTAAAAATAAACGAAAGCAATGGTTTTTAAAAGTACAACTTACTTCTCACATATTGTATCAGTGACATCAAAACCTTCTCTTCTTTCCCAGCACATCATCATCTCCTTACGTTTCCCAGACCTCCCTCATGCCAAAGACAATCCAGTACCTACTCGATGTTACCATGACTCCCTGCCTTAGATAGAGACTGTGAAGGTTAATTGTATGTGTCAACACTGCTAGGCTCTGCTTTAGAGGCAATTAATGTTTTAATCAGTAGACTTTTGAGTAAAGCAGATTGCTCTCTGTAGTGTGAGTGGGCCTCATCCAATCCATTGCAGGCCTTACAAGAAAAGACCAAGTTCCCGCAAAGAGGAAGGAACTTGTCCAAGAGCACCCTTGGACTCAAGGCTTCGACATCATCTCCTGCTAGAATTTTTATCAGCCAGCCTGCTCTAGGTATCTTGGATATGCCAGGCTCTGCAGTAGCATGAACCAGTTCTTTAAAGGAGATCAACCTCTCTCTGTGTCTCTCTCAGACTTTCTACATGTATCTATATTATCTCTATACCCATAGATAAAGGTATAGATATGTGCATACTGTGTATCATTTACACACATACACACACACACACACACAGTCTATTCTGTGTTTTTATAGAAAATTCTAACTAACATAGAGACTAAAGAGCAAGGAAAAATGATTATTTTACTAGTCAGAGAGTACTCTGAACAAAGAGGCAAAATTATACATATTTTGCCATTGGTGGAAGTGTGTAGAAAGGGGTGAACTCCACCCAAGGAGGGTAGATTCCAGGGTTGCAGAGCCAGAACATACTTGATGTGCTTTGATTAAAAGAAGAAAAAACACATTGTACCCTTCAGGAATCATTGTAAAAGTCAACAAAAGTGGAGGTRTAGTGCCAGAGAAAGAACACAGAATTGGGGATCAGAAAGACTTGAGGTCTTTGTATGTATTGGATCAAATTATTGAACTTCTGAACCTCAGTTCCTTCATCTCTAAAATGTAGATAACAAAGCATACTTCATAGGACTTTTATGAGAACCAAAAGAGATTCACGTGAAGTGGGTCTGATCTTCAGTTAACAATAATTGTAGCTGCTGCTATTATTATGTTCATTATTGTTGTACAGGTAATAGAAATTCTGTCTTGTAAGTTTTCGTATGTTTAGTTGAAAAGAGAAGGCTGGGGATATAGCTCAGAAATAGAGGGCATGCTTAGCGCACATCAGGCACTGGATTTGATCCTCACGACACATTTGCACATGTGTGCCTGTGCAAGCACACACACACACACACACACACACACACACACACACACACACAGGAAAACTGTAAAATTCCAGTAGATGATATGGACCAATAATAATAGCATAGTTATTCATGTCTTATAACTGAATATCAAATATGTTTCAGGCCACATGCTAGTGCCTTGGACACCGAATCTTATTTAATTCCTATCATAGTGCCGAAGGCATGTTTTTCAAGGAAGGAAAGGTAGATCCAGCAGAGCTAAAGAAACTTTTAAAGTCACACAGCAAATATGTGACAAAGCAGGAATTCAAACCTAAGTTTGTCTGACTCTGAGGCTCATGTTGTTCCTTTCTATACTACTGCCCACTCCTAAGGTCAGTCCCTAGGCCATATACAGGGACCACATTGTTTTAGTCACATGAATGTACCTGGCATGCTGTAGATGCACAATCCATATCTGACTGGAAATGGGAAGGAAATAAAGGTTAAAGCTACTTTCCTCATATCCCTGCCTGGGACTGCACAATCGCCATACTTACCTGAATGGTGAATGGAACAGGCTCTTCTAGCACCCTCCCATCCACAACAAAGCCTTGGTGTGTCCTATCTGTGGCCATGAAAGTGAAGTGGTCAATCTGGGAGCTGCCTCCAGAGTGCTGATAGGCCACATTCCCGCTGTCCACATCCCACTGGGTGAAGTTGTGTCGAAGCAGTACAGTTCCCCGCAGGTAGAGCCGGCCGTGCTGTGGGAGCTGGACCAGGAGGAAGGTGAGGTTTTCGGCAGGAGTGTCAGGGTCAGTCAGCTGGAGGAGGTCAGGAGAAAGCAGGCCCATGGCCCCCTCGGCCAGCCTCATCCCCTTGTTCCTGGTGACCACAGGCAAGGCTCTGTCTACAGTCTCCAGTGTGATCTCAAACACCCCATGCTTGGTCCACAGTCCGTTGCTGACGATGAATCTGGCAAAGAGAGGCAAGGCAGCCTTCAGCATGGATTCTTGTGTCACCATCTACTGGAATGAAACGATAATAATACACACCTTTACTAAAAGATATGTCGTACTGTGCCTCATAAGAAAAATCAAGGACAGATCTTTCAGAAGATGCCTTTCTATCATTAAACCAATCACTGGGTAACATATAAATTGACCATTCTATGACCAGGTGTATTTTCTCAGAAACTTTGGTGATGGATTCTTGGGATGGAAGAGGTAGGCTTGTCACTACTTAGTGTTATTCCCTGTCCCAAATAGGAATTATACACATCCAACCAGACCCATTATAGGAGTTTCAAGGGTATACTCACTTTATGTAATTAAAATTTTGCAATTGTACTTTTTCTTGGAAATGTTAATAACCTAAATTTTTAAGACTAAGAGTTGGAGAACCAATATAATGAAGAGCTGAATAGACAGAAATTGCTTAACTCATTCTATTTGTGTTTTCTTGGTAAATCTCCTAAAAGAAGAGCACATTAATCAGACATGTAATCTTACCTAACTCATCTCCCCTTTCTGGTTCTCATTTTCCCTCTTCCGTAAATTTCATGGAATGAATCAGATGATCACCAAGTACCATTCAACTCAACAATAATATAACAGGTGCTTGTTTCTTATGGTTTGAATGCTCTTTTTAAAATGTGTAGAAATCAGAAAAAGAATGTGTAGGAGTCAGAGTAGACAAGGATTTTTTTTTCCCTGATTAAAAGAAAGATTCAAAAATTTTGTGGGAAATCATGAGGAAGGTAGGAGATGGACTGGGACTTGAACTCAGATGTTTTGATCAACACCCTTTGATCTCATAGAGTTTCTAATAAATGCTGGTTTAGCAATCTACCAAGAAAGAGTTGTGGCACCTGAGCACAAATGCAAAATTATAAAAAGAAAGCTGAAAGGATACACATTCAAGGTAAGTCAATCCTCTTATAATCTTGGTCTTGTGATACCGTAATGTGCTTTTGTGTATTTTGATCACTAAAACATACCCTACCCACTGCAATCCGCCTCACAATCATACTAATTTAAATGATCTTTATAACATTTCAATGTAGTATTTAAATTTCAAAGAAAATTGAGTTTACTATAAAATTATACAAACAAACCACAATATTAAAACTCCAAAAAGTTAGGAAAATCAGTACTATCAGATGAGATTAACAAATGTACCATAGACCAAAGAAATGTATTTAGAATTAATCACAGAGCTGTATGTTGTTATGGTTTGGATCTAAAATGTCTCCCAAAGTCTTACATGCTCAGAGGTTGGGCTTGGGGGCTCTGACTTCATCCGTGGATTAATGGGTTACTGGAAGGTGAGACCTTATTGGAGGAAGTAGGTTACTGGAGATGTGCTGAGGAAGGCTCTCTCTCTCTCTCTCTCTCTCTCTCTCTCTCTCTCTCTCTCTCTCTCTCGTCTCTCTCTTTCTCTCTCTCTCTCTCTCCCAGCTATCCTGAACTGGGCAGCTTTCCTCTGGCCCTGTCCTGCCATGATGTCATGCCTCACCTCAGGACCAGAGCAGACCATGGACTGATCCTAGAATAAACCTTTCCTCTTTCAAGTTGTTCCTGTCAAGTATTTTGTTCATAGAAATGACAAGCTGACTAACACATACATCTTATTAGTTTTTCCTCCATGTACAAGAGTTAGAAATATTCATGAAGGAAGGATACCCTCTTATGTTTACTCATGTAAAAATCTTTAAAAAATATTGTACTATAATATAACATTAAATTATATAAAACTGTCTTTAACAGTTTTTTTTTTTTAACTAGAGAAGGCATGGGTTATATTTGTTTTACTAACCTGGCAAATATGACTAACAAATCATTCTTTGCAATTATGTCTCATCCTTCAGAGTTCGAGGTTTGTTGCTTTAATATATATATTGGACTTTTATCTGAACATCTATTTTTATTTATTAATTTATATGCCATGTTGAGAATCAAACCCAGTGCCTCACACATGCGAGGCAAGTACTCTACTACTGAGCCACAACCTCGCCCTGTTGCTTTACTTTTGACCATGATGGAACCTGAAACCAAACCAGGAGAGCACAGCAAGTCACCCAGCCTGCCTGTACAGGAGTCCAGGAAAAGAACAATTAGATAAAAAGTAAAGAGAGAGGAGGCTGGCTGAGTACAGATTTTGCTTTGAAGGCTAGGCTAAAGTTTTTGAGCTTTTAAATTATCTAGTTACTAAGACTGCTTACAAGGAAAACATGTGATACATAGAAAAAGGAATGTGATCTTTTTTTTCCTTTTTTATTTATAGCATCATTTTTGTACAGTTTGAATAAAGCTATTTAATACCCTCAGAATTTTAGACTGAGCCAAATTAGTTTCCTTAAAACAAATCAATCAGATTTCCTTTTGTAAAGCTAAAGCTTTGATTAATATATCCTAAGCAACTTGTTCAATTTTGTTACTAGAGTAAGAGGTATTTATAAAATTAATTTTTTACAAAAAACAAAAAGTGCACCTAGAAAACATCTGTGTGTTCTTGAAACTTCTTACTTGAATCACTCTGACAATACCAAAGATATGCATGTTTAGGGATTTAAAATGATGCTCTTTTTCACAGCCTTTCATGGAGTGCTGCCTTGATTCTATTTTTTTCCTATTACTTTTTTCATATTCTCCTTTCCCCCTACATCTCTTCATCTGACCCAAGATAAGAAGATGGCTAGGCATCTCCTCAGTACCTCCAAATTCTTCTTTTCCATTTTCCTCCTCCTGGAATGTGTTTTACACCTCCTTTTTCACAAATAAAGTGGCTCTCTGTTCCCTACCAGATCCCTATGTCTAACGTATCCTTGTAGAGAGTTTTAAACCAGCCAAAGGACTTGCATTTTTTAGTATWCGCATTAACTGTGGGGTTAAAGACTTTGTGCCCCCATTAAAAGTGTGTCAAATGTCAGCAGAGAAGGAAGGAGAAGAAAGGGTAAAGGGTGGAAAGACAGACAGGGAGATTCAATGTGAGCTCAGGTGAGCACCAGGGCTCCATCCAAGGTGGCCATTTTTGATATCTGACTCTGACTTCCCTCTCTGGAGACTTGGTTCTGAAAATGTCCTTTCGGGAAGGGGTCCTCAAAGCTCTGTGACAGCACCACTGCATTTACTTKATGTGTGTGTGTGATTTCTATGAGGGCACTGAAGTTGTCTCACGACCCTGGCTGTCCACCTCAAACTCATCTCTTCCTGGTGACTGGGATGTGACMTCATGGGAAATAGGCAGCCTGCCATCAGACAGATGGGAATGAGGGCAAACAGGCCAGGGACCCTGGAAGGGTAAGAAAGATGTTTACTGAGGCCGGTGCTCCCAGCTGGGACGCCAAGGCAGCTGTCGGCACTGACCTAAAGCTAATAAGCCAGGGGTGAAAAGGATGCAATTTCTAAACATGACTGGATCAAATACATCATTCCACTTTCATGAGTAACAATGCAAACTACTCCCAGGCAGAGAGACATTATCAGAGAGAGAGAGAGAGAGACAGAGTGAATGGTTATGGTTGGTTTCCCAGTCAAAATGAAGCTAGCAGAGCAAGTGAAACAAGGTCAGTACTGCTGCTGTCTGCAGCCGTCAACCAGAGGATCTTCTAAAAGCTGCACCCCCCATCCAGTAAAAGTCTGGTAAATATATTCTCAAGATTTAAAGCTGTGTTGATACCCACTCTGAGGTGAGGACACTGGTAGTATAGAGGTGGCAGCTCCTTCTGTGGGTCTGTTTTGTTTAATTCCCTTATTGCAAACCCCCACCCCCCACCCCCACCGCCACCAACAGAGGGACACGCAGCCAAGATGACCACCATTCTCATGAAATTTGGGGAATGACTCTCAGATTTGTCTGGGGTGTCTGCCTGGTCTGATTTCACCATTGCCACGGTGCTTTCAAGCTTTCTGCATTTCCTGGCATTAGAGTTGGCTGAAGAATCTGCCATCTGTCATGGCATTTAAAAGATAAAAATGGAATCATAAATAGTGCCAGCTCCTCAGGAAAAAAAAAAAAAAAAAAAGTCCAGCCGGCATGTCAAAATGGAGGACATTAGCATGTTCTTTTAGTACCCGGCTGCCAGCAGCTGAAGTCAGCTTGCTAATCACTTGGTGTCATCTGTCCTAGAACATGCTGCCAAATCTCTCTTCCAGGCCAGCAGCACCAAACAATGCAGGGGAAATTTATGATTCACAAAATATTTTTGCAGAAGGTAAAATCTGACCATTAAACTCCCCTGTTTAATTAATGCTGCCATATCTTACATTCAAAAGGAAGGGGGARAAAATCCTCTGCCACAGAATTTATCTCTTCTACCCAGCCAAATTCCTTGCCAAATTTAACAGCAAGCAACATAAATTTAGGTGATTAGATTGGTTGCATATATTTAATTTTTAAAAAGCACCACGATCACACTTTCATTAAAACAGRCTTTCGGCTTTGGTTTAGCGCCACTTGACAAACAACACAGCAGTCCACGATTGGGTTAGTGAAATGACAAGATTAAAAAGCGGGTCTTGGGCAGATGCTAGGCTCTTCCCTTATAAATATGTAAAACTGCTGGCCAAAACCCAGAAGGACACATTGAGGAGGTTCCTTTGCACAAACTCAGAGTCTCCACGAATTTTGGGTACAACAAGGTAGAATGGAAAGAACTCTCCAAGGGAAATGAACCCTTATCCCCAAACTTAGTTTTGATACTCAGTGATGTCAATTTAGGTGGCTTCCTTTGTCTCTTGGTACTTTGGATTTCTCATGCATACAATGGTAACAACTGAGTCTCTCCCAAGGTGGGGGTGCGAGGCATAAGGGAAATAACGTACAGAAAAAAGGCTGGTACATTGCCTTGCATGCTGTAGGTGCTCAAGCAATGCTGGCTTCTTACAAGTAAACCAAGAAATTGGTTTGTTTCTCCCTGTATCCCTGTTTCCTGATCTTAAGTCATTTCAAGACCACTATCATAATTTTTGTCAACATGCCTGTACTAACTATACTCTTGTTATTTAATATTTTGTTCTATACTGATTTATTTTGTTTACATAAAGAAATTTACTTACAAGGAACTCTTTTAACTACTAAAAACTGTAAGTTTTATGTTCTAAAAACTTGATTCCATAAATACTGCAAAAATTAATATAAGAAAACAATATTTTTAATTCCAGCTAGATATTATTTTCCAATGGTTCAGAGTCTGAGGCCTGCACACTGTTAAAAAGGGAAAACTAAATGTGAAGGGATGGTAAAGACATAGCACCAACCTGAGACTTCCCCCTTGAACATCAGAAAGGTAGAGAGAACTGACAAGGAATAGTTCCTCACTCTTGATTCCCTGTTCTGTAATCAGTACCTGGGTCTGTACCAGCCTACAGCATCTCTATATCCCTGGGATACAAAGCATGGGCTTTAGGAAATAGAACCACAGCCTTTTTGCTAAAGAAAATCTTACCCAGAAGCCAAATGTATAATACAAACTAGAAAACAAAGAATCAAAAAACAAACAAAACAAATTAAAGGAAGGGCCCAAAGCACCATCCATTCAGCCTCCTCATCTTCTGTCTCTGGGAGGGCCTGCCAGGGCTTCTGGAAATTCTCAAGGCTCCTTGGAATATACTCAGATCAAAGGACTAGACCACCCAATGACTGCTAGTCCTGACCGTCAGAAGTGCCGGTGGGGCCACTACAAATTCAGAACCTGGGACTGAACAGAGATTACCAAAGCTGCCTCTATGGGATGAGACCCAAGAATTTGTATTTCGTAATTCTTCTTGGTAATTCTAAGGATCTTGAAATGTTGAAATTCCTGGGATAAATTTTTTCCAAAATGCTATCTAATATGAATTTCTATGGCTGCAAATGAGGAAAATTTCTGTAATATCACCCATCCTTACACAAAGAGATTTTATCTTCTAGCCTCACCATTAGATTAGGACCTAGCCTTTATTTCTCAACATCTATGCACATTCACTCATTGGCTTCTGTAGCAGGGTACTGGTTTCTCCAATGGCCATTAATGTTTTCAGCAGATTCTCCTATGGGCCTTGACTGGGGGGAGCAGGAGTGGAGTGAAGCAAGAAGTCCAGAAACAGGTGTAAAAAAAAAGCCCTGGATCTGATGATATTCATGTGTTAAGCCAAGAATCCCCTGACTACATCAGCAAACAGGAGGAAAAGAATAAGCACTATTCCTCTCTGTAACTCCCTGCCTCCTTAAGGACCATGTTTGATATTGTAAAAGGAGGAAAGGGGTCAAGGAAAGAATAAAATAAAAATGACAACCACAATAAGAGCACTAATGACAGCAGCTATTACCTGTTTAGTTCTCCCTATGTGCCAGATACTGTTTTACATACTTTACAGGTATAAGGTCATTTATACCTGTATACATACATGACTCGGTTAAGATAGTGTTGAACTAAATGATTGTCTGTTTGTTAAAGGACATCTGTCAAGAGATGAAAGAAGATATTTGTTCAGCTTCCCTGGATTTTTTGTTAGTTWAACTGTTGGACTATCCAGATCATCTTTCAAAAATCACTTTAAATACTCAAAAGATGAAGTCATCTTTACTGACAWCTAGACAGTACTTATCACCATGATCTATTGAAGGTGGAAGAGTAGATGCCAGAGAGGAGTGATATTTAAACATGGGCATGCCCATAGTGCTTAATATTTTATGGGAATACACTAAATAGTATAGGAATTTGCCACATTTATATCATTTTATAATGTTCTTTAGAAGGTTGTATTGGACATGGTGAAAATTGTACTGGAAGCCAGAAGCCCCATGTGTATGCAGACAAATCTAGGCTCTTGGACTCTCCTTCTTAATCAGTAAAATTCAGGGTAGATTATGTGCCATGGTTCCCCAAAAGGCTATAACAACTTCCCAACCCTCACCCCTGCTTGGAGTCTGCACTTTGTCAAGAACCTCAAGTTTGGCCAGTTTTGAGAGCTGCTGGATGATAGATCTTCTTGAGTTTCTCCTGTTTCATGTGACTTGAAACAAATTTCCACATTTTAAATGAATATACATTTTCATTAATGTTGTATCTTTGCCTTTTCACCAGATTGCTATTCATCCCAATGATTTATTTGATGCTGAATCCTTGAACAGGTGCACAGTCTCCAATTATAACATTGTTTCTGTGGGGAAACATGATCTACTTTGTGACAACATGATTTATGACACAGTTATGGGAACATGTTGTGTCAGAAGTCAGTGTCTACTTATGCCAAACTTATTATGCTAATAAATGCCTTTTCCTCAGACAGAAAACATACTTTAAAAAGGAGGGAAATTACTTTTCTATGTGTATCCTTAGCTAGGACCCTCAACTGTTCATGCTCCTACTYACAGAAGAGCTTGCATTTGTATCTGCTTATTGCATTTATTCTTCAGCAACAGGCCCTGATTTCTTGTCTTTTTGCTGTCATTTTAAGGTTCATTTTATGAGCCTTTACCTTTCATATAGCAAGGCAGGAAAAGAGGACACTGGAAAAGCACTCAATTCTGCTTTCTTCTTTTTTTTAAAAATAAATTTTATGGTACGCATTTAAGATATATAAAASGACATCATAAGACACAAAGAATAAAATGTTACTATAAGAAAACTCATTAATATACTCCTTTTCTCTTTCTAAGCATTAATCCAAAGAAAGGGTTCAGAGAACTTTTCATAGGTCTCACCTGAAGCTGTCACTGGGCACAGCTGCCCCACTCTTAKGTATGTAGCAGACCGTCTGCCCCGCTATGTCCATTTGGCTGAAGCTTGTAATGGGGACCCCGGGATAGCGGACATATTCCACCTGGCCATACCGCGGCGGAGAGGTAATGGCATACAGCAGTTCCTCAGGCCTGTCTGTTCCATCCACAGCCAGAAGAGTGGCGGTCGTCAAGAACCCTCTGTCGCCTTTAGATACCACAAGTGGTTTTGCAAGAAGGACAATATCACCTGCAGGGCAGAAGAGACTGTGGTCAAGAATCCTATTTAAAAACACAGAATGTTCCAAGAAAAGGTAAAAGACAAAGGCCTGATGTCAAAATTGAATTAAACACAATATAGGAAGGTTTATGTAATTTTTTTTTTTTTTTGGTACCAGGTATTGAACCCTGGGGTGCTTGACCACTGAGACACTTCCTAGCCCTTTTATGTTTATTTTGAGACAGAGTCTCATTAAGTTGCTTAAGGCCTCACTAAGTGGTGGAGGCTGGCTCTGAACTTGTGATCCTCCTGTGCCACTGGGATTACAGGCATGCACCACTACATCTGGCTTATGTAACTATCATAAATAAAATGCAAAAGAAATGATCAGGCATTTCACATGAAGAGGAAATATGTGTGGCCAATAAGGATATAAAAAAGATGATTGATCTCATTAGTAATTGTGGAAATACAAACAAGATCACAATCAATTGCCATCTTATAACTCTCTGATGAGCAAAGATGTAGAAGTCTGATTATATTAAGTATTAAAGAGGATGTAGGTCAAAATAATCTTACGTACAACAATGAAGGGAGTGTAAATTGACACACAGTTTGAACTATTTTGTATAATTGGCCATTCACATATACCTTGGCCCTGCCATTGTACTCCAGGGGTGTACTGGAGAGAAACTCTTATACCTCAGGAGACATGTACCAAAATGGTCAATGAGCTCTATTTGTATTGAAAAAACTGGAGACAACCCAAATGCCTCTTCAAAAATGAACATATAAAACAAACAAACAAAAAAGTGGACATAAAACAAGTGTGGTCTATTCACACAACTGACTCATGCGGTAGAAAAATGAATGGACTACAGCTACAAATGGCAACACAGATGTACCCTGTAAACATTTTCTAGTTGCATGAATAAGTCAAGAAAACTATAAGGAAAAATTAGAAGACAACACCAAATTCAGGATAATGGTTGTCCTGGAAGATGGGAACAGATGTCTGTTATTGCCTTATTTCAGGCCCTATTGTGTGGTAGTTGCACACACGTTTGTTGTATATTTTTAAAATATTTGTTTATACACTCATGTCCATAGCAGGATTATTCACAATTTCCAGAAGGTGGGAACTACCTGAGTCCCCTCCATGGATGAATGGAGAAACAAAATGTAATGCATGTATACAATGGAATATTATTTAGCCATAAAAAGAAGGTGGATTCTGCCATATGCTACAGCACAGATGAACCTGAGAGCATTATGCTAAGTGAAACTAGCCAGTCACCAAAAAACAAATATCAGATGATATCATTTATATTAAGCACCTAGCCTGGAGTCAAATTCTTAGAAACAAATGGTGGTTGACAGGGACCAGGGGAAAGGAAAATAGGGAATTATATTGAGTCTTCATTTAGCAAGATAAAAACATCCTGGAGATTAGTTAYACAACAATATGCATATAATTAATACTACTGAACTGTACACTCAAAACAGCTAAGATTGTACATTTTAAGATATGCATATTTTACCTTAATTTTAAAGAAAATACATAACTGTGTGATGATTAGATACTGCAGAAACAGATCATGTGTGGGCCAATGATATTCACCTGAGATCCATTAAAAACAATCGTATCTACAGAATTTATTCTTTGTATCAGGCACAGGACTAAGGGCTCTTACATGTTCATAACCATCCTGTGAGATACAGTAATGTCATGTTCCCAGATCATAAATAAGGAAACTAAAGTATAGAAATGCTAATTAACCTGCTCGTGTCTACACAATTAGTAAAAAGGTGGAGATCCAATTTGTACTCAAGACATTTGAAATGAGAGCACAAACTCTTAAACACCATATTGCTTTGTTCCTCTCTCTAATATATAGGGAGTTCTGTATGAATACTTTAAGGTGAATATCCAAAAGGAAAAAATATGTGAAGTAAATACCAAGTCATTTCTGCATTGAAAAACACAAATGGTCAATAAGATCTTGAAGATATTCAATCTCATGAGAAAACAAAAAACAAAAAAGGAAAAATAAAATTAAACATGGAGATGGTATAATTTTTCCCTTGCTCTGCTTAATGAATTCAACTGTATCCTTTATTGCTGCGGAGTGTACCCTAGCACTTTCAAAGTGAAAAGAGTGACAACCTCGATCTTTTTCAATTTCAAAGTTTCTTTTTGTTATTTCTTTAATTTAAAARCACATTTGCTTTACTTCCTTTCATGTTATTGCATTGGACATATTTTTCTTTGTAACTCTATTTTCAAATGATACTGTGTTTCCGGAAGATAAAACTAGAGTTAGCACATCAATTTGGTAAGATTTTAGTTAAAGCAAAAAGTCCTGACTATTAAATTAGCCTGTGGAGTTGTATCGTGAGCAAGGCTGGATTTCTAATAGAAATAGGATTGGCTACTCCTGTGAACTTCATAGATCCAGGAGAAGCAGGTGTGGAGTTATAGCATTGAATCATGAATGATGGAACTTCAGGAATGAAGGATAGAAGGAAGAGAGGAAATGAGGGATACAGGGAGAAGGAACAAATGTTGAGTACCTGTAGCAGCTCCTTTCCATTTATAAAAACTAATCCCAATAAATACTGGTAAACATCCTTTTACCTTTTCCCATATCCTTGATGATGATATGACAGTCAAATGAAGGTGATCTGTTGTCACCATCCCAGAGGTAAAAGGTGAAGCTATCTCGATTCTGGGAATCCATTGCCCCGGTGTGCGTGTATCTCAGCAAATTCAGATCCACTTCTTCCTGGGTGCATTTCATGCCCGGGGAGAGAGAAACCCAGTCTCTCCCTATCTGAAAGGTACCAGAATTAGACAGCTGCCCATGTTTTTTTYCCCCCAGCTGAATTAGTGAATATGTTATACATATCCTCTGAAACCCTCTAATAGAAATAATATTTCAGAATAATTTTCAGAGAAATTTCAAAATATATTTTTCCATGTTACTTTGTTTTTCTATTTTCTAAGAAATATRTTACAATAAATCAAGATCGTGGCTAAAAAAAACGAGTTTGAACCAAAGGATTTTTGACATAGTCATGTGACAATTTAATAGCATTGATTCTTTCAAGGTATTTATCATCAGCAATCATAGCTGATTAAATATTCCAATTAATGAGAGCAGGTGGGTAATCGAGCTGCTGGAATGTGTTCTTTAGAAATTAGATGTGTTTCTTTTGGAGTTCCCTTTTTTAGTTCCTATCATTGTACAACTAATCAAACCTATTTTTGCAAAGTGGTTCATTACTAGGCTTCTCTGATAAGACAAAAATAGAATGAATGCATTTTATTCTCCAGTCCATTTTCTAGTTTTACTGAAGCCTGAAGAAAATGATCCAGACCCCTGTCACTCCCTACATTTATATCCTAAATCAGCAAAAAATATAATCTGCAAATATCACATGTACTATTTTTATCAGAATCTTCTAAAAACCAGCCAACATCTATTCTGTAGAGTTCGGTACAGAAATTGTGGCATTTTCAATTTAAAGAGGTTCTTATGCTGGAGGGTTGGTTTACAACAGAGAGAGAAAGAGTATTAGAAAGTGAAATAATAAATCTGTATCTTATTAATAATCCTGTTACTGTTTTAAGATATACACATGGCTTTCCCTAAGAATAGCTCATAAAAAAGTAATTTGATATAACTGAAGAAAACGTCGTTTTAAAATTTTACAGTATGAACTATATTGCACTTTTTCTGTCTGATTTAAGTAACTAAGACAGAAACATGAATCATTCGCCTTTTATGTCCTTTCAATACATTATCCCACCAATTCCGGGCTTCTAGAAGAGAAGCTCTGTCCTGCTCTCTCCTTATAATCTTGCCACTTGTCTCTCTGTCATTCTACTTGATGAGGTTTCTTCCTCTTTAATACTCTTGCCCATCTGATGCTTGCAACATACGTTCAGCCCCAGGGCTCATGGGTGAAAGTTAATTATATTGTAGTAGTTAAGCTCAGTGTTCATTTCCATAATAAGATCTATTTGCAAATACATTTTTTTTCCAAGCAGATTCTTTTTCTGGTTTTAAACTAGACAGTCTACAGTTATATTTAACTTTTCCTCGTTGTAACCTTGTCCAGGAAAATAAATACAGAATACCAAATCTTTTGCTCTCTCTTGCCTTTACCAAACTCTTCTCTTACACTCTCAAAAGGGAATTTGATCTGACAGAATCATCTAAAAGCCAAAAAGAGGGAGAAAATAAGAACTGGACTCGAAATGAGAAAAACTAAGGAAAGCCAACAAGAAAACTTGATCTCTTGAGACAGTCCAGGAGGCCTGGAATCCTGGTCCCCAGCCTAGGGGAGCCTGAAGGAGGTGCAAGAGAATGGTGGGGAGCCCTACTGGGAATCTGAACCCATCTGGATTTTCACATATCCAAAACAGTTCAGTTCCCAAGCCACCCAAATGTGTGAGCTTTCGCTGCATTTCTGCTTCATTACTCTTCAAAATGAAATAAGGACCCAGCTGCACCTCAATTTAAATCAGCAATTGCTCTTCACTCTGATTCTCTATAGTGCCCACACTCTAAGACAACCAAGCTGTTCCACACAGAAAGCATCCTCGCTGCTTCAGAGGACTGTGTTAAGAAATCAGTTGAACCATCACACCAGGCATTGCTAGTGGTCGTTGCTGGTCTGACTCCACTATTCAATAAACATTTTGGCGGATTACTGGACTGACCTTCTCAAGGGACTAATCCTTAAGAATCATTCACATGGTCTGAATAGACTGAAATCTGGCCCATTCTAGGACTAAAGTGAAACAAGGAGGTACTGTCAGATCACAAGCAGTTGGAAGAGTTAGCAATAGAATCCACTATTAGGATCCCCTAACGTTTCCATGCTTTTAGTTTCCTGATACAAATCAGGGATGTGAATTACTGCGTCGTGCAGTTTACTGGATTCAGGTATGGCAGCTGTCACAATCTGGGGTGGGATGGCCTCCACATGAAGTTTCTGCCCAGGGTTTTTGGTGCAAGATGTTACTCACTGGAACCTTTGCATGAGGTCTCTGGGGTGGCAAGGGAAAGTGGGATTGCAGAGTAAGGGCACCAACCCTCCAGCTAACCCTCCAGATAACCCTCCTTCATCTCAGACAAAACAGAACAATTTGGTAAATGTACAGTGAACTGTCTCCCTAGAGAAGAGACAGGATTGTCACTGCTTGGAGAGGAGGATGAAGTTTGAGAAAGAAACGCGAAGGCTCCCTTTGCTGAGACTCATTGAAAAGGTAGAAGGTGATAACACTAAGGTAAGGTTTGGAGTMCCACGCGGAGGGAGGCTTGATCCCTCGGCTGCACTCTCAGGTCCCTGCACTATAGTGTCAGGGGACAGAGGCTTCATTTGTTAGGGGACTAGAGCAGAAGGAGCTGGAGACACTCTCTTCATATTTTCCTAGGCCTGTCATGAAAAAAAATCAATTTTTTCATCTTTCTGAAAATGATCTGCATCTTAGCTGGGAGAGAGAGAGGTTGCTGGTAGATTTGAAGGAGTTTTGCACTTGACATGGTAGATGGTAAAGAAAAAAGTTACTCGGGTCATAAGAAAAAAAATCTGGTGGGAATGAAGATATCTCAGAAGAAGCTAGATTCTTCAGAACCAGACAACTTCCTTTACCTGGTAACTTCCTCCCTCAGCATTTAGGGAAAAGCTCTGGGGAAGGGAGCAATAAAGAACCTTAATATTGGTTGAATTTACCTTTTAATTGACTTGAAAATTTAGAAGGACATGAGTTCACCCTGGTTGAGGAAAATTCATCTCTGGATAAAAAATATGACTAAGAATAAATTCCATTGCACAAATGTGTGTGTTGAGCAAATTTAGAACTGCTATATTAATTTCAAAAAAAAATAAGCCTTAAAACCACTAACCTTAAGCTGAAGTTGTCCATGTTGGGGAAGCCTTTCAAATAAATAGTAAATCTTCTCCCTGGGTGAGTCTTTGTCTACAGCGGAAAGAACAGCGCTAGAAATAATACGGGTATCCCCCATATTCATTTCAATTTCAGCCTTCCTGCAAAAAGGGAAATGCCTGAGTTGATATGAAAACGGAAGCTGTTCCTTTAACAGGGAAAACTTATATTGACTCTCACAGTTCCCACCCTTCAACACCTGAGGAAGGAYTTTCAATAGCCAAAGTGACGAGAATGAAGTGCAGACATGAAAAAAAAGCTCTCATTTCACTTTACGTGCTAAAGTCTAAAAAGAAATGAGGCAGCAGCAATGAATAGAGTAGCACAAAATTAAAAACCATTCCAACTGCTAACATGTGTAGAACTTATAATTTTATAAGAAAAATTCAGTTCAGCCAGGCATGGTGGTGCACACCTRTAATCCCAGCAGATTGGGAGRCTAAGAGGCAGGAGAATCAAGAGTTCAAAGCCAGCCTCAGCGAAAGCGAAGTGCTAAGCAACTCAGTGAGATCCTGTTTCTAAATAAAATACAAAGTAGGGCTGGGGATGTGGCTCAATGGTTGAATGCCTCTGAGTTAAATTCCTGGTACAAAAAAAAAAAAATTCAGTTCATAAAATGATTATTTCTAATATTTCATTTAACACTCACTGCAATAGCTCCATAAGTAATGGGCCAGGTACTATCACTGTAATTTTATAGACAGAAGCTTACTGAAAGAGATTAAGTGACTTATACACAGTGTTCCAGTACCCTTTGTGATATGCCATTCTGAGTTTGGTAGTATTTAGGTAATCTGGGGGCCTCTAATATACTCTTTGTCTCTGTGGTTATGTTCTGGTAGCCTGTGTTCTCTTTATCATGCTTCATCTCTGCCCAGTGCTTGGGCCACCAGGTAGCTGCTGGCATCTTGAGCTGCAGGCTGGCACAGCAAGCAGGCTTGGGTGAGAACAGCTGGTGCTTCTAACCTGGACGCTGCTGCTGTGGTTTTTGCAGGGCCTCTGTGGTGCTGCTGCTTCTACAGCCAATATGGCCACTTTCCCTAGTCTCATCCAAGGGAAGAGACCTCCTCCCACCAGTGCTTCTAGCTCTCAACCATGGACATTACACATGCCTACTCTGTCCACCCTAGCGGGCTTGTTTCTGAGAAATATTGAGACATGTGAATTACTCGGGATTCAGAGCAAGGAATTTGAGCATCACCAACCGGCACCAACAAACASCCTTCCGGTCCTCTGCCGTGAAACCAAGGTCAGGACACTTCAGTTTCAACCTGACTAGGGGAGGTTTCTTGTCCACCAGGACTGATATCCCCCTTGGYAGTAAGAGGAGACTTTGGTCTATCTTTTTACCGGAGAGTATATTAGTCCCATTATTCTAGAAGGCAAAGGGATCTGTTGCATCTGTTGGTTGGGGGCTTAGGGAGATTAGTGGTGCTTTTTATCAAAAGAGACAGAAGAATCTAAACAGGAAGCCAGAATGATGAAGGCGGAAATTTGGTGAGAAGAAAAGTGTCAGTAATAAATATCGAGAAGAAAAGAGGTGTCTGTAAAAGAGACCCTGGACAAAGACTGTGGTGCAAGTAATTTGTTTGAGAGGCAATCTCAGGAAGAAGGAGAGAAGCAGGGAGTGAGAAAAGAAAAGACAACAAAGGGTATATTTCCTGAGTGGGTAGTTGGGCTCAAACCTACTAGGAATACTTTTTTTTTTTTTTTTCCCTTTTCAAGAGACAGGATCTTGCTGTGTTGTCAGGCAGCCCTAACATCTAGGCTTAAGAGATCCTCTTGCCTCCGTCTTCCAAATAGCTGGGGTAATAGGCATGTGTTATACACTCCAGTTGCTGGGGATCTCTTGAGGAGCCATGGAGGATGTCACTAAGATTGTGCTTCTGGAGGACAGGAAGCTAGCACATTTATCTCATTTGTTAGCTCCTGAGGCTAAGGGCTGTCCCTACAGTGCTCTCTGCTGTACCTGAATGTGGGCCAAATGAGCCACTGCAGCTCAGAGAAAGACCCAAATTTGAAAAGTGGAGCAGGGCACTGTGGGCATCTGAGGTGGGGTGCTAATACTGAGCAGGGTACATTCCCCCACAACCATCAAGAGAATCACAAGTGGGCTGAGGGGCTGTGACTCAAGGAACTAGAATGTTGACCCAGCACCTAAGAGGACCACCATACAAATGATATCATAGGCTCTACCAGGGTCCAGTGAGGTGACAAGRGTCACGGGATTTGGTGGGAAAGCCAAGGGTAACTTCTAAGGGAACAGCTTTAATAGAGTGGTAAAGGTTGGTTAGAGACATTGGCAGAAATGGAAGAAACCAGAACAAGCTACTCTCGCAAAAAGTTTGGCAGTAAAATGAGTGTGGGACTGGGTTGTCTGAGTCCTCAGAATGAAGACAGTTACTTACAATAGTGACGATAATGAACACTTAAGATTGTGCATGAGCCGGGCACAATGGTGCATGCCTGTAATCCCAGCAACTCAGAAGGCTGAGGCAGAAGGATAGTTCAAACCCAGCCCCAGCAACTTAGTGAGGCCCTAAGCAACTCAGAAAGACCCCGACTCTAATAAAATATTTTTAAAAGGGCTGGGGATGTGGCTTGGTAGTTAAGCATCCCTGGATTCAATTCCTGGTCCCCCCCCCCAAAAAAAAAGATTCTGCACAATGTTTTAGCCATTCTTTTAAGCGCTTTTAAGTGTTTTTTGTTCATTTAATCCTTGCAATAGCCTATGAAGAGGATAAAACATTATCCCCATTCACAGAGAGGTTAGCAGATACAATGAAGTAGTGTACTCAAGATCATACCACCACACCAAAGTACAGAATTACTGAGTCAACATGACTCCAGAATTTGCTCTCTTAACTACTAACCATATCCCTGTGTCTTATTGATAGAAGGAAGGAAAAGGGAGAAATTGAAGATGCAGGAGGGGAAAAATTATGGAGGATGTACTARAAGGAGGCAAAAGGTGATTTATTCAAGGACACATGGGAGATAAAGGGAGAACATCGCTTCCTCTCCACAAAACAGAATGAAAGAGAAAGATAAGAGAAAGGAGGAATTTGCAAAAATTATAAACATCTGAGGTAATAGAAATCCCAGTTACCCAGACCCAATCATTACACCTTGTATACCTATATTAAAACATCATACTGAATCCCATAAAAGTGTACAATTATTATGTCAACTAAAAATAAAAATGTATTTTAAAAAGAAAAAAAAGGGATTCTGAAGCAATCAAAGAGGTGTAGTAATTTTGTAGCTATGACTATCTCAGGAAGTTTAGTAGCAAGGATGTGGCCTTCTATTACCAAAAGGGGCGTTGATACATGTGGAACTTGGTAGAAATATGGTAGATCAYGAAGAACCAAGATGATGAAAGGAGTATGATTGCTTATTTCCCTCTGTCACTCTTATTTAAAAGTTTGAGCAAGTCCATTGTGAGGACTGTTTGCAGTTAACATTACCACTCTTGAGTAGAATACACATATTGATTGAACTTTGGTGCATGTGGGCATAGGTCTAAATATTTACTAGCATATCCCTTCTATGCTGTATGCTCAGTCATTCTTATTTTTTTATACCTACTTGGAAATTTTAGAAGAAAATCAAATAATTAAAGAACTTGTTAAGAGGAGGTTTCATTCACTGGCATTTACATTAAGTGTTCCAGGTGCCTGTGTGGGTGGAGCAAGTTAAGATGGACCAAATGATGGAATACTGGCTTCCTTAGGGGACACACACTTGTTCTTCACCCAGGATCACAGATTTCACAGAGCTTCATAAAAATCAGGGAGGGACTCTCTTAGGTGGCTTACTTGCTTAGCATTGGTTTCTCATCATTAACCGGAGTGATCTCTACTGAAATGGTTTTAAGTATCTTGTGTTTCCCATCTGACAATTGGATTGTAAAGTCATCAGCAAAGCTCTCAGAGTCATCATGCACATAGGTCAACCTCATTCCTAGAAAAGGAGAAAAAGAAAGTAAAACTCACTTAGGATTGAACCATCCCAACACACATCACAGGTAATCTGTTTTAAATCTGAGGAACTGGTACTAGCAAGATTTCATGGGGACCAGTGGTGTAGCTCACTGAGCAGTTGGCTAGCAAGACAAGGTCCTGGCTAGTTTCCCCTGCATGGGGGAAAAGGTATACTAATCAGTACACTAGGGTGAAATAAAACTTGTCTTAGAAAATTAAAAAGTACCTTCCTATCCCATTATAAATTCTTTATTTTAAATAATTTAGAATTTGACAGGGGTCTTGTTCTAAATCAATGAGAAAAAGATGTATTATTAAGTAAACCATATAAAAACAAAGGTGTCAGAGAGTTTAAATGAAACAAAAACTTAATTACTTGGGAAAAATTAGAGAGATATAGCCCTATCTTGAGCCAGTCCCCAAGATAAAAGCTTAAATATTAAAAGCCATATTTAACTATATTTTTTAAACCCAGAATAACCAAGTCTTATGAATTGGTGCAACCACTCTGTAAAGCAAAATGGAGATTGCTCAGAAAACTTGGAATGGACCACCACTTGACCTAGCTATCTCACTCATCAGTATATACCCAAAGGACTTAAAATCAGTATGCTACAGTGACACTGCCACATCAATGTTTATAGCAACTCAATTCACAATGGCTAAACTATGAAACCAACCTAGAGCTGAATGGATAAAGAAAATGTGATATATATATATATATATATATACACACACACACACACACACACACATACATATACATACATATACATACAATAAAATATTACTCAGCCTCTAAGAAGAATAAAATTATGGCATTTGCAGGTAAATGGATGGAGGTGGAGAATATCATGCTAAGTGAAATAAGCCCATCTCAGAAAACCCGAAGGCTGAATGTTTTCTCTGATAAGCACATGCTGAACCATAATGGCAGGGGTGGAATGAAGGAACTTTGGATTGGGTAAAGAAGAGTGAGGGGACAGAGTGTGGGATGGGAAGGACAGTGGAATGAGATGAACATTATCACCCTATACACATGTATAATTACACTACCAGTGTGACTCTGCCCCATGTCCAGCCAGAGGAAGGAGAATTGTGCTCCATTTGTGTATAATGTGTCAAAATGCATTCTAGTGTCATATATAACTAATCAGAACAATTTTTTTAAATACAATTAAAAAAAAAGACAACATGGAGAAGAAACGGGTGGGCAACCCAGGGGAAACTGACAGGAAGCTGCATTCTGAAGRCATGTCCTGGGCTAGCCCAAAAGGAGAAGGACCCTGCAGACTGGGAAAAGAAAACAGGTAGAGAAGGAAGGAGAATGAGAGTAGGCAGTAATTCTGAAACTGAACCATTTGGTCACATTTTTTTAAAGTATTTTTATAAGTGGGAAATGGGATAAGATCAGTGTTTTTTAAAGGAGAAAAGTAATTAAAAAATAATTCAGGCTGCTATTTCGATGTGTCATTTCCCTAAAGAGCAAATTATCTCCTCAGAGACTAATGAGTCCTTATTATATGTGGTTCTATATTTGTTTCAACTATGGAAATTTTGGCAGACAAAGCTCTTAAAATTTAGTTCCATGATCTCATTAATTTTAAAAGGGGATTTTTTATTATGACATAAAAGTTTACATTAAAATACCAAAAATTGCAAATATTATTTTTAATGGTTCCCTAAAAGTGAAAGAAAATATGTTATTGCCTTTCCAATAAGCTATTATTTCTAGCCAGGACTTCATGCCTRTCAATATTCTAGAGCCCAGAAGTAACGCTGGAGGGATTAAAAATAAAGTGAATGCTATTTCTTCACCCTCTATTTCTATGATTTATAATCATCTTTGCTCTGTTAAATTACATTCTAAAAATATTTGTTCCATATATCTATATAATATATACATTATAATGTATATATATAAATTGTAGATGGAAACAATTATTTTTTWWATTTATTTTATGTATTTTTATGTGGTGCTGAGGATCAAACCCAGTGCCTCACACGTGCTAGGCAAGCTCTCTACCACTGAGCTACAACCCCAGCCCCTTAAATTACTTTTTAATTTGTTAAACTGATAAATAAAAATTATATGTAATTATAATATACAACATGACTTTTGATCTATGTGATATACTTGATATATATTATATACATATACACACATTGTGATATGGTTAAATCAAAATAATTAACATGTATTACTTTATAATTTGTCTCTGTGTATGTGTGTGTGTGTGTGTGTGTGTGTGTGTGTGTGTGTGCTGAGAATACTTAAGATCTATTCTTTAACAATTTTCAAGTACACAATATATTTTAGCAACCATAGTCACCAATGATGTACAATAGATATCTTAAACGTAATCCTTCTGTCTAAATGAAATTTTGTACTCTTTGACTAGCGTCTCCCCATTCCTCCCATCCCCCAGCCTCTGGAAACCATCATTCTACTCTCCACTTCAGTGAGTTAGATTTTTAGAGTCCACATGTAAGTCCAAATTAAATTATTAAATCAATAGCAACAAATGAATGGAAGTGGGACATGATATACCAGTCTTGAAAAGTTCCAAGGAAAAGCTGTGAACAAGTTCCTGCTTCTGGTCAGGGTTGGCTGGCTGCTTATTCTGAGRAGAGTCTTTGCTGAGCATCCTATTGATGAGGAGACCATGACGTGGTTTCTGAATGATGCTGAACAATAAGGGGTCCTTGGGAATGTCCAGGTCAGCAGCACTGATGACAGAAGAATCCAGCTCTGTCGTCTGACCCTCACACACCTAACAGGAACAAGTCCAAAAAGTCAGCTGTGTGTGCAATAGAATCTGTCCACTAGTTTCTTCTGACAAACTACTAAAATTGTCATTTGAAGATACCGTATTGCAGATTTTTCCATAACATTTATATATAATGAGTCCTAAAAAGAAATTGCTCGTTCAATAGGAACATAAAAAGAAACACCAAATCTATTAATTTCCCTCATATTTTTTGAAGATTTTAAAGCAATTTTCATTTCCATGAACAAAAAGAACATATGATTTTAAATGAATATATTACTCAAAAGTTTTAAAATTGGGGGGAAAAAGCAACCAAAGAATGCATAGTCTTTAGAAGTCAGAAAAGTTCAGTTGTAAAATCAAATCTAGAACCTTCACCTTCAGATACCAATCTGTTATTGTAACCTCCTGGACCTCATCCTTTCTACAATTCTTAGGTTTCTAACTGTTTTAGGAATAGCACAAATATCTATGTATACTGCATGTATTTGGTGTTTTAACTTTTATTATAGCAGTAATATCTTCTTTATTTATTTCAGTCAACAATTGAGAAGGATGCTTCTGGCAGCAGATAGTGTGTATTTTAATTCTGGGTCTTTCATCTTTCCCTAATCCTCACACCTCAAATTTTCCTGACCCATTTTCCCACACCCCACTTCAGGTTTGTAATCCTTAAAGCACAAAGAGAGTGGAATGTTCATGATTTCATGCAGGATCTAGTCATTTAAACAATATGATACATAGATATCCTGACCTCCCCCCCCCATAGTGAGGATAGGGAGAACAAGGAAATATTTTTGCTTCCTATTTTGAAATATGGCAGGATTTCAGTAATAAAAGAGAACAAATTCTATACATGCTTCTTGGGAATCTGCAATATCACTATGCTACATGCTGTGGAGAATATGAATATTCTCAAGAATTTAAGTCAGGAGAGACTGAAGGCCTCTCCACCAATAACTGTATTATGAGGAAGACAACACCCAGCACTGCTAGATACCAATAAACAAGAAGCACAGTAGGGTGGAGGACACCAGGATATCTTTATGGCTGAGAGTACAATCAAAGCTTGAAGGACAAATATGGCTTAGAATCTCATGGACTTTGAAGGGAACCCTCCTGTAACCACTTTTTACAGAATGCACATAAAGAAGAGTTACTTACCATACATGATGCCTGAGCTAAAATGATGCTAATTTTAATTTATCTGACCTCACTTATTAAGGACTGAGGCAGTATCATAGATTAATTCATAATGATACACTTATAAAAATTTTTCTTTGATCACAATTCACCTATTTTTCAAAAAACTTTAATAAAGCAACTTAAAAATATATTATTAATTATTATTCATCATAGAAATTAACTATGAAGCCTTTCCCCCCTGACATACTGTATAGGACAATGTTTCTTATTTACAAAATGGTAAGTTCATTCACAAGGGTACTAGGAAATTTTACTGAAAAAATGTGGTATTCTTTGTTGGAGATTGGATTATTTATTGAGATTATGACAATGCAAAATTTAGATCAATACTCATAAAAGGCAGACATTTGTAAGTTGACGGGTTTGGAATGGATTACAATAAACTAAAATTTCAAGTGTTTTTATAGCACCATGGGATAAAAGTCCAGCTATCCACAAAATAAATATATTTTCTCACAAGAAAGAAAAATATTCCTTGAAGTTTAGTCGCCTCTGCCAATGACACTGGTACTCCATATTTGTTACCCTATAACAGCTTTCTCTAAGGAAGACACACTTAAAAAGCATGATTACTTCTAAAGAGCAAGGGACAACTTCCTAGTAGCCTAATTATTTCTGAGGCCCCAACCCTAGACACATACAGCACAATGGAGGTAAGTATAGAAGAAATCTTTTGTATATTTTTTTTTGTCTCACATAATTACTGAGGGGCTCTCCAGAGAAACCCATGTGCCAACAAAATAGGAAAGGCAGGAGCTGCCTCTTAAATTTAATACTGAGGTGACTCTCATGTACCATTAAGATTCAGTAGAAAATTAAAAACAAACAAAGACTTTCACATTTAGAATGTAATTTTTTTTTAGCAGGAAAAAAACCACAAAATAATGATTTTGGTCAATAACAGAAAAAAGATAACAAATACAACAATGACAATAATAATGATGACAACTGTTCATTAAGCGTCTGCTCTGTGCCTGGCCATCTCAATCATCATGGCTAACCCTCAAAGAAGAYTTTATACACAGTTTGCAGATGAGGAAACAGAAGCCCAAGATCATATACCTATGAAAAGCAAGACCCCCAAGTCCCTCTAATTCCAAAGCCTGTGTTCATCCTATTTCTTTAGGATTTGCTAATACATATGTCTGGATTAAATAATCATTTACATTTATATGTACTTATACATATAAGTTGCTTAAAAAGAGTTATATACTAATGTGAAAGATTTTAAATCTACATAATTTTGTTTTTAGGAAACAAACTATAGAGTAGTAAATAAAATTTATCCCTATTTAAAAATTAAAAAYAAAAACAAATCACAATATCATACCCATTACTAGTATGTGCAAGAATTATTTAGGCTATTTAGTTAACCTCATTAAGCCTAATTTCTTTAGCTACAAAATGACAATAATAATGCCRTCCTCTTAAGAGTCAACAGTGAGGATTAAATACGAATRCATATAAAGGGCTTGGAATCTACAATGTAGTAAGTACTCCATTCTATACATATGCAATGTAGTAATCGTATCCATGCAATTGCCCAATGCTAGCAATAATTATGATTATTGCCATTATTGTTATTATTAGAGTAATAGCTTTCAAGTAATCACATGACATAGGTTACTGTGTTCCCTACCCCTCACCAAATCAGTGTGTTTAGAGCTTCTGAACCAATTTAAATGGACTAGGTTAAAATAAAGATAAAAAAATGATGAGTGAGAAATGGAATATTATGATAAGGTTCTTACAGTAATATTCTGCACTACAAAGTCAGGAACTTCATCATTTGTGGGGTTGATTATAACATAAAATGGAGTCTGCAAGGAGCGTCGCTTCCCATCTGTGACGTACACCACAAACTGGTCAGTGGTCGGTTCCATCCTCAGGTGTCTGGATTGCACATAGTTGATGTGCAAAGCCTTCATATCTTTCCAGTGAAAGGAAGCTAGAGCACACCAAGATGGAACAGGTAAGTAAGAAAAGCATTATTTACGAGGTACTGGTCCTTATCTTGAACCCAATAACACCCTGTTTTTCAGCAAAACCAATAAAAGATCATGGCAGTTCACCTAAGTATCTGCTGTCAGGGACAGCTACAACATCTGCCAACCATTAACATAAAAACAGATAATCATAGATCAAAAGATTCAAATATACAGGGAGAACAGAAGAGCAATAGCTACAAACCAGGATGCAGAGGAACTTCCTGACCACTCTTCAGATCCTCGGAATGAATGCTGGGAGACCATTATCTGACCACTGCTGCTGCCTGAGCAGCTCATGTTATACTTCGGTAAGAAAGAGCCCACCTCTTTCACATAGAGGCAAAACAGGAGACGATTCTTGACCTACTTGATGTGCACATCAAGCACCTGATTGAATTGAGTGGAATTAGCTGATGTAATGTTTGGGTATTAAGATGTAGCCTTAAATCAAAAAAGGGTTCCATGTGTGAATTAAGTCACAGGAAAAATTGGGCAATGTTTGATGCAATTAATCTTAAATCCAGACTTTCTCATATTTAAAGTAGATATGCCTCAAAAAGGGCTCGCAGAATCATATACTTCTAAAGTAACTTAAAAATATATTATTAATTATTATTATTATCTTAGGAAAATTTGGATTTTTGCTTTCTGCTTTTGTTTTGGTTGTTTTGTTTTTGCCTCAAATACAGGAGCTATTTTATTATCTGAGACACATTTTGATTTCAAAATTAATGTTATCTGCTTAAACTTTTCAGACTTTCTTTCTATATAACACTCATAGTATGTTTTCCAATCTTTTCCACCAGTATATATTAAAATGATGAAAACTTGTGAGTCTGAGACCTTGTAAGCTCCCACCAGATAAATTCTATTACAGCATTCTGTGCTACTATAAGGGCCTTTAAAAACATTATCTCTTTAATATATATTCTCATTTCTTCATATATGAAATCTCCACTTAGTTTGATGTTAACTCATATGCATAGGAAAAATAAGAATAAAAATTTAAAAATAATAGATTCAAAAGTATCAGCAATAATCATATTGATAATAATAATTTCTTGAATGTACATGGTGCTTTGAACCTTTTTGGACTCCTTGCCCAGTTATTAAGCATGATCTGGCCAATTACATCCATAAATAAAACAGTTAATGCTAGCCACGAAACCATCACTTACCTATACTTATGCCCATATTGCTTTTCTCAAAACCCACAGAAGGAAGTGTGTTTTCAAGGTAACCAAATTGGGGAGGAGAAACCAAAACAAATTCCAAGTCATCTGCAGCAGTGTCAGGATCATTGGCAGACAAATGGTTAATGGTAAGGGCTGCTGAGAACCCCTCATCTACAAGGAACAAGGTACCTGCATACAAATAACAACACAATCATGAATTAGCATGAAATCTTCTAATCAGAATAGGGAAGACAAAAGGGAGTGATTGAAGTTCCAATTCAGAGACGCCTCCCCTAYGCAAATACACTTCCATGGGAGATGTTCACTTCCTTTGGCATAATTCTCTTTACAGTGAAAATATTCAGGGATAACGGGTGGAATTTAATTTGACTTATGGAATTATATCTTTTTTCTTGTACAAGCAAGCCAGACAATAATTGAAAGACAGCCGAAATACTAACTATTCCTGCACAGCCTTTTAGTCATTCTCAAGGAACTCTGATTTCCCTTGTGTCTCTACAGAAGTGACAAATGAAAATGCGAATTGCCAAACTGTTTTAATGATAAGCCACTAAATGTAGTTTATGTACTCTTCAAGATCAGTTGTTACCTCTGTTTGTCAGAGTGTTAATTGCCTGAGAGCTATTATGAATTGCTCATAACGAACGTTTTTTTCATGCCTTGGTGCTTAATTATTCTGCTGGGATAATGCTTCCTTTCCAGAACATTGCTTGGGAGATAGTTTGCAAATTACAATAACATTCATACATATGCTTATATTTTTTTTCTGAGGGACAGAACGTATACATAATGCTTATGAAGAGATGACTTTCTAAATAGCAAATAAGGTTAAAAGTATATAAATGGTCTCTCTGGTATACTTATTCTTTTCTAATAGAAATTACTATGGATAAAATAAATTACTCTTTCTCTCTCTCTCCAGCAGGCAAATAATATTTTCCCACATGAAATCAAACCAGAATATTTGAGGATTCCAGTGTTGTCCTTGTCCCAACGTGTTCACATGCGTGCACATGCACACACACACACACACACACACACACACATTCTCTCTCCATGAAGAAGTAACTAAATTTCTAAACAAGTGAATTCTTTTGTCATATAATCTTTTACAGATTTGGGGTTTTCCACAAATTTCTGATGAGCCAGTTATTTGAGGGTAATTGTTGTATGATGGTTTTCTATTATGACTCTAAGTAAAATGTATTATTTCACTGAACCACGGCTATGACCCTAGACAAGATAACAGTACTTTTACAGAAAAAAAAAAAAAAACATTGTTACCTATTGCAATTGAAGGTGGCTGATTGTCTACTGGATGTACAGTGATGTTGAGATCATACACTGGAAAGGACTCATGGAGAGGAACAGATGGATTAGGTCCATTGTAACAACAGCCATTCACAAAAGGGCCAGCTTCTCCATCCGAAATCACCAAAGTAATGGTATCGAAACAAGGCACCAGGCCAATCTCACCACCTGGAAAACACAACTATGGTTGAAACCTGACTTTTTAAAAATTACAGGATACCAAGATGGAATCTACTCACACCTCCTCTGTCAGCATTGAACAGCAAGGAAAGGAACTTATGAGAATAAGTGTAAAAATGTAAAGCCCAATTTTATCACTATAAAATGAAGTACTGTCATGAAAATAATGTGAAAATGCTTGTCCATCTGTTGCCTCGGGTGAAATTCCTGCCAGCCATCAATCACCATATGGAGGGGCAACCCAGGGCAAACCAGGGTCTGACAGTTCACAAATGAACAAGGGAGAGGCACGAAGCTGACTAGTGATGGTTTTATTCCTCCAGCATAATTCTTCAGGGGTTAGGAAGACCAACCTCAGGCAGAGGCAGAACACACCCTCGTCCCCTTGGTAATTGCCCTTCCTTTTATTCCAACCACCTTGAATTTATAACCATCAGCCACACAGCAGTTATGAGAATCAGAGGACACTGGATAGGTGAAAGTCAACAACACTCCAAATTTTGATCATTTCCTTCAATGTTTTCTTCTTTTTATATAYTGGCCAAGATGTTTTTAAAAAGTAGCAACAGTGCCTTGAAAAAAAGTGGCATTTACTTTCACCTTCTTCCTATTACTTGTTAGATCTTACTCTCTACCATCCAAAGTGGCCTCAACTTGAGCCTTGAGAGATAGAAGGAAGAAAAAGCCAGGGCTAGATAGCTTATCTGGAAGAGGACAATCTCCTCCAAGTTGCTAATGAACAGCATGGAGCCAGAGTGCTTGCTCTCCAGGGGGCAGAAAAGCCCTGCAAGTGTGCTCTTGGTAATTCTCACGTCTCACCATTAAAAAGCAATTAATGCTGGGAGCATCCATGAGACTAGGGCACAAAAGAAATGTCATATCTTCTCACCATTCACACTACCCAAATTGGCAGAGTCCTGTGCGTGGGATTATTTTCCCAGTTTAAAGAAAAAAAAAAATGACACGAAAAACCTACAGATGATATCATTAAGCAACCAGATGATTAAAGCATGAAAAATTGGAAAACACAGAGTTGAGTTCTGAGAGTTAGAAATGATCAGTCTTCAACTCTGGGAGTGTCAACAGTAAGAGGCCTCTCACCTGTTTATAATGATAAAAAAAAAAAAAAACAGCAAATTGTCCGAAAAACATTGATTCATCAGTTATTTAGTCAATAAATATCTATTTAAGGACCACTGTGGGATGATTTGTATACTGGATACCCCATCAGAGAAAAAGGTGGACATATCACAACTATCAAAGGTATTTTAAAGGAATGTGAAATGTCAAAAGACCCACTATGTGTTGGACATAGTCTAAAGGTAGAGAAGTAAATAGTGTGATCAAGATTTCATAGATTTATGCATTAGTTTGAGTCACACCAAATTGATGCAATTAAATAATTTCTTATCTATGAAGTGGCAATTTCGTATACAGTAGGCCTTCTTTATACACACCTTCCAAATCCATGAATTCAATCAATTGCAGGTCAAAGATACTTAGAAAAATATTGCATTGGGACTGAATACATAGATATTTTTCTTGTCATTATTCCCTAAACAATATGGTATAACAACTATTTACATAGCATTAGTATTTTAAGGAATCTAGAGATGATTTAAAGTATATGAGAGGATTGTATAGGTTATGGGGCACACAGTAGGCCATTTGATAAGGGACTTGAGCATCCAGGGATTCTCTCTATGGGGGTCCTGAAACTAACCCCCTGAGATAGCTAGTGACAATTGTGTATCAGCCCTGTAATATGCAAGATGCTGAAAAAAAATGAGAGTTTTGCCTGACAATGACCTGGGCCAAGGCATGTATGCCAGTAGAAAAAAAATCTTTCAGCCCCTATCTCTCACCATGGACAAAACTCAACTCAATGTGGATCAAGGATCTAGGAATTAAACCAGAGACACTGTGCCTAATAGAAGAAAAAGTAGGCCCAAATCTCCACCATGTCAGATTAGGCCCTGACTTCCTTAATAAGACTCCTATAGCACAGGAATCAAAATCAAGAATCAATAAATGGGATGGATTCAAACCAAAAAGCTTCTTCTCAGCAAAAGAAACAATCAATGAGGTGAATAGAGAGCCTACATTTTGGGAGCAAATTTTTACCACATGCACATCAGATAGCGCACTTGTCTCTAGGATACATAAAGAACTCAAAAATCTTAACACCAAAAAAAATCAATAAATGGGCCAAGAAATTGAACAGATACTTCACAGAAGATGAGATATAATCAATCAACAAATATATATATATATATATATATATATATATATATATATAAATGTTCAACATCTCTAGCAATTGGAGAAATGCAAATCAAAACTACTCTTACGATTTCATCTCACTCCAATCAGAATGGCAGCTATTAAGAATACAAACAACAATAAGTGTTGGGAAAAAGGCACATTCATACATTGCTGGTGGGATGCAAATTGGTGCAGCCAGTATGGAAAGCAGTATGGAGATTCCTTGGAAAACTGGGAGGAACCACTATTTAACCCAGCTATCCCACTCCTCGGTCTCTACCCAAAGGACTTACAAACAGCATACTACAGGGACACAGCCACATTAATGTTTATAGCAGCACAATTCACAATAGCTAAACTGTGGGACCAACTTAGATGCCCTTCAGTAGATGAATGGATAATGAAAATGTGGTATATGTACACAATGAAATACTATTCAGCATTAAAAAAGAATAAAATCATGGCATTTGCAGGTAAATGGATGGAGTTGGAGAATATAATGCTAAGTGAAGTTAGCCAATCCCAAAAAAACAAATGCCGAATGTTTTCTCTGATATAAGGATGCTGATTCCTAATGGGGTTGGTGGGGAGCATGGGAGGATTAGACGAACTCTAGATAGAGCAAGGGGAAGGAAGGGAAAGGGAGGGGGGCACAGGGGTAGGAAAGACAGTGGAATGAGATGGACATCATTACCCTAAGTACATGTATGAAGACATGAATGGTGTGACTCTATGTACAACCAGAGATATGAAAAACTATGCTCTATATGTGTAATATGAATTGTAATGTATTCTGCTATCATATATAACAAATTAGAATTTAAAAAATTTAAGAAAAAAGAAAAGTCTTTCAGGATGGTTTCACTGGCTTTGTTCTGTGTGTTAAAGGGTAAGTAAAAGCCTGTCAAGCAGATAAGGCAAGGAACTGGGAGGCAGGAGAGAAGAACAGAAGAATATTTACAAAAAAAAAAAAAAAAAAAGGCAAACATTCAGTAACTGCCATTTCTCTATGATAGAAGCATAGGATATATCTATAGCAATAGCTAGAAAAGTAGGCTGAGCATTAAATCACTAAAAAGGCTACAGTATAGATGGGAAAACTCTTTACCTTGGAATGAATATAGGCTAAGGACATGATTTACACTTAAAATGTCAATCATATTATGTTAGCATTATGTAAAAGAAAAATTTTGAATGACCCCGTTTTTAACATTAGGAAATTAATTTTGTACTTTTATAGTAAAATACTATTCAATTACTAAAACATTTATAATAACAATATCATTTAATAGATATTTGGATAAACATTTTAGATGATAATCTAAATGAAAAAAGTAACTAATAAAAGTACATATATATCATGATTGTAACTAAGTGAAAAGTAACACCCCAAAAATTAAATAACTGTAATACTTTAATGTTAACAGTGATATCTTTGAGAGGTATAATACAGTGTTATTTGAAACTTCATTACACTTTTCAATTCTTTTTGAGTTTTCTGCAATGAGCAAGCATTATTTTTATAATTACAGAAAGCAAATAAATAATGCTAGTAAAATTATTCATGGGTAGTTTTATAATCAACATATAGAAGCAATAGTGGAGTCAGACAATTCACTTCAGATACTAACCAGACTGGGATTCTTTCCATTGATTCTGTCATAGTGTTAAGTAACTACCTATTGAATAAACGAGTGAATATTACAATATCAAATTGTCCTCTGACTCTAGTATTTCTCCTAATGTTATAACAAAAGAAAATCTTTTTAAACTAATTTAACCCAATATCTTTCTAGATTTCATTAGCTAATAATTCTTTGCATGGCCATTACACTAGAAGAGATTTAGACACTTGAATACCCTCTGGTTAGCACTTGGAATGAGGTAGTGGAAGAAAATGTAACCCATGTCACCCTAATTCATCTGTACTTTATGATCCTGCCAAAGGTGTTGAAATTATAACAAACAACAACCACTAATCTTTGAATCCCTGTCCTGCAAGGTGATTTGAGATCTACTGAGGAAACATAAAGAAGTATGTAGTTGTGAACTCTTAAGAGATATCAAGCAAGTCCAAAATATGCTCCCCAAGCAAGGAAATAACCAGTGAAACCTTTCCTAAGTCTACACATGCAGATAAGAGGGAGACACCATTTAAAGAAAAAAGCTGTTTGGCAGCATGAAAAAAAATGTCCCATGTTCATTAATTATCCTTGAGACAACTGGTATCCTGATAAATTGCTGTTTTCCAAGATACATATGAAAACATATTATTTCAAAGTGTTTTCTACCATTTCCAAATTAATCCTTAGCAATCTCAATATTTCTCCTTGAGCCCCCTCTCCACCTCACTAATTGAATTTTCTCTACATCATTTCAAATAAGAAAATTACTTGAATTCTGAAAGCTCTTACAGCCTCTACTACTCAGCTGGCCTTATACACCCAATTATACTTCCACCATGGAATTTTCAGTTAAAAGAGGCATATCGATGAGTAAACAGGAAATTGAAATAGTGTGCAATTAACTCCAGTAAGAGGAAATCTATGGTATTATTACTGAGGAAATGCCCCTAACCCAGACCTCAGAAGAGTACAGGGGAGATGATGTCATGATGGGCAGATTTGTCATTCTGTCATCTGAAAGGATTTTGTCTGCCTGCTTGAGTGAATCGTCCTGCATGGCAGGATCTGGATTTACACTCCATTGGAGCCCCATGGGGCTTGGTGATGTCCTTGCAGATATCAGATGATGAATCAATATTTTCTTTAGTTGAACAGTTTATATGAGGAATAAGTGTCACCCAGGAAACAACATAATGTGATGCCATAAATATAAGCACAGTGCCTATAAACAAGCACTTCCTGAAGATTTAAACTGTGTTCAAGCTAACAGTACTGTGGGCAAGTCCCACAAAGTGTAAGAGATCATCTTTGCTTCTTAGGAACTCAAAAAGCTGACTAGTTACTTCTTAGGAGTTAGCTGGTCATCAGTAGACTTTTAAAATTCATCATATCATTTACTTAAGAAGTTTACTTCAAGAATTTCTATTATGATTTATGGATCCATAAGCTGAAGGGACCAATTTAAGTCCTTAAATTGACCCAAAAGTAGGTGTATGTGGTAGCATCAACAACAGCAGCAAGCTGGGCACCGTGGCACATGCCTACAATCTCAATGGCTCAGGAGGCTGAGACAGGTGGATCACGAGTTCAAAGCCAGTTGCAGCAACTTAGTGAGGTCCTAAGCAACTCAGCAAGATTCTGTCTCAAAATAAAATATAAAAAGGAGCTAGGAATGTGGTTCAGTGATTAAGCACCACTGGGTTAAATTCTTGGTACCAAAAAAAAAACAGTGGCAAGTGACACCTGATTTTTCTCAACCCTTCAAAATTAACTATAATATTGAGATCAGAAACACTCCTAAATATGGTAACTGTAATTGAGAAGTGGGTGCAGTTTGCAGCTGCATCTTTTACTCTATTTTTTTAAATTGAAGCCAGCATTAAGACTGTTAGATTATCAGAGCTACAGCAATAAGTGGAATAAGGCTCTCATATGGCTTGTGTTTCCTCACTAGTCACAATGCCGTCACTTACCTGTGTGTTTATATGTCACAGCCCCTGAGATAATATCTCCCTGAGAGAACTGGTCTACTTGAACACCAGCCTTCCACACCACCCCATGCTGAGGTTCTCGGGCAATCATAACCATCAGTTTCAAGTCATCACTGTCCATATCAGTAGCAAAAATGTGTTCAGGGGTGATGACCACCTCTCCACCCTCTGAGCAATGCATCATGGGGATGAGGTCAGCCTTCAGGATCGGTGGCTCATCATTTATAGGAAACACCTGAGCAGGGGAAAAAAAAAAAAACACATGCTTTCAAGAAAAAGAAAGAAATGACAAATTGCCCAACTGGCAACTCCTAGCTCAAAGTCACAGTGACAGGGATTTTCGATCTTCCAGACACATGAAACAATAGCTGTGGAATTTGGCCAAGCAGCCTGTTTTTAACTTCCCCCTACGTACCATCTTGCAAGGAATACTCCACATGAGAGGCATTTTAGGGAGAAATGGAAGAAATACGTTTATGGTTTGGGACTCGAAACTCTATCTCCTTTTAAACAGACAAAACATAAATGTGATATACAACATTCCTCATCAAAGCCTCTATCCTTCCTTCTTTGTCAAAGTCACACATATTCCTGAGGGATTCTGGTCCTTGTGGTGTGATACTGGTACATTCACAGTGTCCAGGTTATTTTTATTTTGCATTATCTGGTGATTACAAAGCTTCTCTCCACCCTCAATTTCCTGCCACCCATGAAGTTGGGTTCACAATAAGCCACAGCTGCATTTCAAATGGTTTGCATTACATGTGAAACTCCATTAGCCAGGTTTCAACTTGAAAAAAAAAAAAAAATGCTTTCCTCTCACTCAAGAAAACAAAGCTCCAAGATGAAAGGAAGGAGAAACAACATGGGATCACACTGGCTCTCTGGCTTTGAAAAGACCACACTGAAATTTTAAAAGACGGGTCTTTTAAAGGGAACAAAGAGCACTTCTCCTTGGAATTCATAGCCACAACCTGGGGTGGGCTGCAAGGTTTATCTTGTCAGGTTGGGCCATGAGTCTGCTCAACTTTACATTTCCTTCYTCTGCACTGTGGCCAAAGGGGTCTGTTTTAAATGTCCATTTCAAGCTGCTGCCTTGTTGGGACCTTCATTGGCTTCCCAGTGCTCCTCCTGGGAGTCACTGGCTCATCCATGCTCTGGGATGTGCTGGCCACCTCCCTTTTCACCCCAGCACACCTTCCTTGCCATCTCGGGGCCTGTGCAGCATCTCCTGCCTCTGCCCAGCATGCCCTGTCCCTAACTCTTGGCTAATTCCTGCTTTATGTTCCGTGTGAATCCCCCAGGGAAGCCCTCCTTGACTTGGGCTCATTTAGGAGCTTCTATTACTTAGTTCCCCTACTTATTTATAGAACACATATAAAAATCAATTCATTATTTGGGTGATGATCTGTTTAATGCCTGTCTTTACCCCTGGTCTGTAACCTCTAGAAGAATAGGGTCCCTGTTTGTCTGCCTTGGTCATCACTGTATTTCAAGTATAGAAGATCCAGCATAAAAGAAGGCACTTACAAAACATTGGCTGAATAAATGAATATAACTTTGTATCTAGACCCTGAGAATCCTGATATTTAAACAGGCTAACATCTGTAAACAAATACACATGAAATATATGAAATTATCAACACTTTCCTTTATGGGTAGCGGCATGGATTGATAGAACCCCTAACTTAGTTATTTAATCAAAGTTTTTTTAAAAAGCATACAATATTCTCTATTTTTCTGTTGTCTTATTAWGGAAAAAGTTTCTTTTTTCAAGTTTTCTGTGCAAATTCAGTAAAGATCTCTATTATTGTTCTTGACTCTGTCTAGGGAATTTCACCAATTAATTCAAATGGATAATAAAATTTAAAGGAGAAACAATTAAGAATATTCCTGGGACTGGGGTTGTGGCTCAGTGGTAGAGTGCTTGCCTGGCATGTGTAAGGCATTGGGTTCAATTCTTAGCACCCCATATAAATAAATAATATTTTAAAAAATGTGTGAGGCCCTGTATTAAAAAAAAAAAAAAGAATATCCCTTTTTGGTAAAATCACAAACACAAACATTGTGTCCCTGGCTTTCAAAGACCATGCCCTTTTATTTTAAAAGTATCAATAAATATATTCTTCTCCCAAATTTCTCTGCCTATTACCAGTAATAAGAAAGTCATGAATGAAAGATAGGGTTGGGGGGCCTTTCCTTTGAAATTTACTTTTCAGGATAAACAAAAGCAAAATTTTAGAAGAGATTTCTCTGCACATAAAAATCTGCCAACAAAGAATTTTTTTTTTGAAGTGAAATAATGTACAGCTTTTCATCAAGACCTCCAAGGCCATTAAGAGGACAAAGTGGAGGAGCATGAGGAAGATGATCCACACTGTGCCTGGCACAAAATGGTACTCGGACCTGCTGGCATCAGTCACCTGGAAAGGTAGAAGTATGGCATGGCAAGAAGGAAGAACACTGGCCTAGCTACCGGAGTGTGGAGATGCCAGACCACATTATACTGTCAGGCACATGACTTTGGGCAGGTTGTCAAAACTTTCTTGGGCCTTAGTGTCCTTATCTATAAAATGGGAATAATTGCTTCCCTATCTGCTTCATAAAACGATACACACATGTGAACATTATTTTTTAATAACAATTACAAAATATCTTACAAACACATTGTTACCACTAATAGTAAGTGTGTATCACAAAAATCTGGACAATATTCAAACCAAAAGAGACAGAATTTAGCACAATGAGAATAATTAATGGCTCTTCAGGGAATGTGGCGAGTTTTTCTGCAGACCTTTCTTGGTCACGAGTTATAAATAACCACAAATCTTATGATTTGTGCTCATGAACTTGGGTAACCACTCAACAGAGAAATCCCAGAGTCCTCAGAAGTCCTTTGGGTATATGAACATATTTTTCTTTGTTTGTTAAAAGGTAGAAGAAACATGGCCTCAAACAGACCTTCTACCAGGGCTACATGGTGCAGAAATTCACAAAAGAACACCACAAACCTACACACATGGCTTCTTCCATAGGCCAGGAACCCCCAGAGATGCCAGCCTAACCTGCTGAGCTGCTAAATAAACATTTCTGAGTGTTAGTGTTCAAAATCATTATAAATAATTTATATATGGAACCCCTTACTTTGGGGGGGGGATTCTTACTGGGGATTGGACTCAGGGGTGCTCTATCACTAAGCTATATCCCAACTTTTTWAAAAATTTTGAGACAGGGTCTCATTAAGTTGCCTAGGCTGCCCTTGAACTTACAATCCTCCAGTTTGAGCCTCCAGAGTAGCTATTACTTTTTAAATTAAGTATCTGTGTTTTAGGTCAGAATGTTTCTACTCTATTTTGATTGGGGAGAGATTAGTATGTTCAACCCATCAGTATAACCATGTGCCTGGCTCAAGATATACAAAGACATAAGGAGGCATCCTCTTGCTCTGGGATTTAAGTTATATTAGGGACTCAGGGAGATTTTCAAAATAGACATTTTATTTTTATATGACTCAGGGAAGAAACATTCTACCCACCTCAACGTGTAACACAAATTCTGCTGAATTTGTGCCATCTGTGACCTCCAAACGTATGTCATCCTGAAGAACCTCAGATCCATCATGTTGATACCTATGAGGATAATATTTGTAACTAGTCTCTCAAGAACACTGTTAGACTAAATTGAGATGCATGATACAAGAGCTCTTCTTGTGTCATGTGTTCATTAAATAAATAAGTAAGAAAAAACCAGCATAATCATGAAGTCACATATTTAACCACTCAAGTACCCGTCAACATAAAATTGCTCCACCTTAGGAAAATCTGTTATATGCATTGATAATTTATATTCATCCCCAAATCAAAAAGTGGTCCTTCAGTTGCCACTGTGACAACAGAAACCATTTTGTTGTAGCTCTGCCTACTTGCAGAATACACTGGTTGGGGCCAGAGAGAGACCCTGAGAATGAGCATAGACARGGAAAAGTGGGACACTATGTGGAACTGGTGACTCCTTCCCCACTTTCAAGGCTAATCGTTCTGCCAGTGTTCAGGATCTACTAGGCTCTTCTCTAAAACCCTGATCCCTGAGTTCTGTATTGCCTCCCTCCATTCTCTCTCTTCCATTTACAAGCTTTCCTCCTCTCAACTCATAAAGAATTTCAACACTCTCCCAGATTTAAAAATACCTTTCCCWGGTCTAGGCTTGGCCTTATATTCCTTTAAGACTCCGCCAAAATCTTGAAGGACTAATTTTGCTCCTTAGAATTCTTGGCTATTCTTGGCTTTCCATACACTCCCCAGCCTACTGTGGGGATGCCCAGTAAATTCTAAACAGCTGTTGGATTTATTTGAGCCAATTTTTTAACATATTAATGATCTGTTTGAGATACTAGGGAATGGAAATAAGTCCTAAGAATTTAAAATTAAAATTGCATTAAAATTAGCATAGTATATAGAACCTATATGATATTCACCTATGGAAAAAAATAGGGCTGTACCTTACTCAGAACTAGTTTCACCAATAGGGTGATATGAATTCAGGTGTGAGAAGGTCCTCATCCCTATTACTTTCCTTCCACACACTACCTTCTATGGTTTATTTGCCATGCTCCCTGCTATTTTTATCAAAAATATATTTACAAGTGATCATATACTAATAGTATATTACTATGCTAAAACTTCCCAAAGGGTCAAGAGCACACATCCTAAATCACGGCTGTGGAGTAAAGAAGTTCTTTGAAAACCTGCCTCCTTCACATACCAGCTCAGTGACCTTGAACAAACTCCTTAACCTCTTTGTACTTAGTTCTTCAACTATGAGAACAGAACTATCCACTTTGTCAGGTTTTATTACTATGAAGATTAAATAAACAAATAAAACATTGATTGCAAATCTCTAGCAGAGTACTTGACCCTATAGTTCTGGAAAATAATGGAACTTTTATTTTTTGATCCATCACTCACTCCCTAGCAAGAACTGTCTAACCAAAGTCTCTTTCTAACATGTAGCTCAGAGCTAAGATCTCAAAAATAAATAAGGAAAACTACAGTAGAAAAGAAATCAAAAAATTGGAAATTATTAATCAAGCTATAACTGAATTATCAAAATTAAGCCAACTACTTGTGCACAAATCTTGGTTCCTAATCAACTTTCTAGTCAAAGTACGAAGCTAAGTTTTTTATGTCTAATACTTCCTYCTATATGTTATCAAAAGGGCCAAAGTTTCCATTTATAACTGGTGTTTATAAGTGAGAAATCAGTCTGTCCATCTAGCCATTGTTTTTAAGTAGTTTATGTTGTTTTCCAGAAAAGATGTTTTTCTACAGTGTGTAGAAAAGTTTCTTGCACAACTGCATTACGTAGAAGAAATGAAAGACTTAAGGTGAGGATACTATAGGACCATGAGGTAGGGATTTCTCTATTCCTGGCTCTCAGAGATCCGAGTTCTACTCCATGGCCTACTTACCCAGACTACTCCACTTGTTCACCTGCAAATCCCTGCCCTAGTAGAATGGACTAAAGATTACACTAAAGACATGGATCAACAGAACTCTGTCCCAGAGTGTCTAGGGTATGAAATTGGCTCCTAGAGCTGAGTTCAATTATGTAGATTAGTCCCACAGATGATTTCAGTCTCTGTTCATCTAGTTTCTATGGCCTCTTGTGATATGTGCAGTTGTAGCAAATTTAATATTCATGGTAATTAATTTTTGTTGTTCACATAGCCATAAAGTCATCCCCACTAGTACAGTAAGCCAGAGGGAAAGAAACTATCTGGAGGAAAATGAAAAATTTGTCATTTCTAATTTTTAACTATTGAAATTAGTAAGTGGCATATTGGTATTCCTGAAAGAATTTGATGCATTTCTTTTTTCTTGCTCTGTCTCACAACTGATCCAGATGGAGAGCTAAGTTATATAAAGAACACATTACATTTCTAACCTAACTTTTAAGGTGTGAAGGTCTCCCCAAGAAAATGTGCCCCCAGCATCTAGAGGAAATCCATTCAACTCCAGCCTTCCGTGCAGAGGCAGACCCTGCAGGGCAATGTAGATATTGTCCAACATGGTATCCACATCAGAAACCAGAATGTGCTCTGTGCTGATGACGCACTGGCCTCCCTCAGCCACTCTCAGAGGGGTGGTGGATACCTAGAAAGAAGGAACAAACATTCAAAGCCTATTCCATGAGGTACCCCTGCAGACAGAACTCATTGGATTACCATGAAACTTCCAGAATCATCTTCATATGTCTACTAAATTTTCAGGAGTATGATTCAGGGACAAATTCATAACTGGAGTTTGGGGATGAAAAATATATTTAACTATAAATGTTCCCAATTCCAAGTGTTGATGTACACAAAGAAGCAAGACAGATCTATAAACCTGAAAGTATCTACATTTTATTTATCCCAGAGCSTGTATCATAGAATCAGCAAATTGTTGACTATATAGAGTTCTGACTTAGAGAAATAATAACTTTCATCCTGACCATTTAAATCATTGTTTGACACATATCCATCTCAGTCTATAACAAACAAAACCTGTGCTAAATTCTCCTGAAGAAAAGAATCCATCTCCTTTTTGCACTCTAAAACTTCTTAAAGACTTGTGAAACATATTGAAGCTTCTTTTGTGTTATTTTGAAATTAAAATTGGAAATCTAAGATTCCATGGAAAATAGATTCATTTAAACATTAGACTTAAATATCAAAGCCACAAATATAACTTTAAATAAGGAAAAAACCCAAGGCTCAACTGACTAATAATTCATTTGTAAGTAAAAAAAAAATCAAGTTAGAATGGCTTAGAATATTTTATCACCACACTGGGAGAGGGCAAGAAGTGTCCTATGATCAAATCAGTCTAGAAAACACAGACAATATCCTCACCCTGAAAGTTTATAAGGCACATATGCATGTTCAAAGCTTTGACACTTAGGGTAGGAAAACCTGTTAACTTTGCTTAACCTAATTTTTTTCAAATTGGTAATACTACCCAAAAGCAAGAGCAAGAAGATGAATTTGAGATATGAAATCATGGGCTCTAAGGTCCCTCTCAGATGGTCTGAGGTGACTGCCGTGCAAATTGGAGGACACCGTGTTCTCCTAGGGAGCAATTGCTCTCCTCAGAGCAGCTGCCACTCCCGAAGAGGAGAATGTTCCCTAAGGACAGAGTTGGTAAAAGGCAGGGAGGAGCAGGGAGAGACACAGCCAGGCACATGGAAAGGAAGCAAGATGAAGCAGAGGGCTCAGCTACAGGGTCCACTCTCTCCTCCTGCAACTGTGCAAAGTGCTGGGCGGAGCTCCATTCCAAGACACCAGGGGCACTAGAGGATGTCCTAAAGGGTCATGGAAACTAGGAGAGTGCCATAGAGGTGGCTGTCTTCTATGCTATCACCAGAAAAAAATTAAATAAAATGATAGACTTTTCTCTCTATATTCACCCCCACGCCAACCTTTCCAAGTGTCTCATTTTACCAAACCTATATTTTCACTGTAGGAGGGAGGAGGAAAGGGAGCTCTCACTCAGGGTATTACCTTTAACCAAGGTCTGCATTTGCCAGCCTCGCTTTCCTGAGTAGGTTACAAATAAGTATCTCAAGATGACAAWGTTTCATAAAATATAATTTATACTTTAGATGATCTTTCAAATCTCTCTTTTAGAGAAAACTTTAAAAAATAAAAACATGAGACTAATTTCCCCTTCCTCACTAATCATTAAATTCTCAGGCCCAGTTCTCAGAGGCTGGGGACTTCAAGTTAGCATGGGGTCAGTTTCCCCTAATGATCATCACTCAACTTGTCTTTTTTTTTTTTAAAGAGAGAGTGAGAGAGGGGGGAGAGAGAGAGGAGAGAGAGAGAATTTTTTTAATATTTATTATGTTTTAGTTCTCGGCGGACACAACATCTTTGTTGGTATGTGGTGCTGAGGATSGAACCCGGGCCGCACGCATGCCAGGCGAGCGCGCTACTGCTTGAGCCACATCCCCAGCCCTCAACTTGTCTTTATGTGGTATTTTTTTTAAGTTGTAGATGGACACAATACCTTTATTTTATTTATTCATTTTTATGTGGTGCTGATGATTGAACCCAGTGCCTCACACATGCAAGGCAAGTGCCCTACCTCTGAGCCGCAACCCCAGCCCTTTATGTGATTTTTCATATCAGAGACCCATTCCTGTGGCTGGTTCCACTGAAACTACAACTTTAATTTTATTTCTAATATCCTGTTTCTTTGAAGCTCTGTGTCATTTGATCCATGTGCCACATATAAAAGAGAGAAACCACGATGCCATTTTAGACCCAAGTCCTCCCGATTATTCTCTCTGCTTTCAAATGAAGGTAACTTTTCCCTTTGGCCTTTATATATTCCTCCATACCTCATCCTTCTCTTTCAAAAGGCCTGGATTCCTTGGCATAAAAGATTATTTCCCCATGATTATGCTGAAAAAAGTTTTGGCTTCTTCAGATGCTAGGCTATTTCAGGGCCTACATCTCATACACAGAAAGGGGCACTTCAACTAAACTCTAACAACATTAGCTCCACAGACATTCCAAACCATTTTCATCCCAAGGAATTTGATCTGGTCCCTGAGGGAGAAGTTATAAAAGGATGGAGCTTGTTTAGATTCCTCAGTTTGGACGCTTCCATAGCCTTCTATCAAAGATTGCAAGCTCACCAAGCTGAGAAGTCAGGTCAGTGATATAAGTGAGTATGGTAAGTTGGTAGGGATGCTGGTGGTTGGGCTCAGTATTGCCAGAGCTTCCAGAGGTTCAAGAGGAACCCCAAGTCAGAACTGATAGGAAATCTTTTTGTTTTTAAATGTTGCAACTTATTATTTTAAAATACAGTTTAGATCCATTAGAAAACTTTTGCATATTGGACAGCCCCCCCCCAGTCCTCAGAGAAGCCCTCTGTTCCACAACCTCAGGCGCATGGAGAGATGGTGAGGAGAGACCAGGAAAAAGAACAGCAGGATTGGCTGTATTTCAGGCCAGTACCTGGGAAGGATGACCTCTCTCCTTAGGGAACAGGTTTGGGTAGGCTCTGGGCCCCTCTGGTTTGTAATACATGGGAAATGCTCCTTTGTCCTTCCACTTGTAGGGGGAAATAAACCAAATAATAGCTTCACTAATTAAGTATAGCATTCTGACAGCAGAGTGGACAGGGTACAGGAAAAACTCTCAGCATGACACAGTCTCACAGAGAAGACCCCAAGGTAGCATTGCCTTTGCAGTTGGGTTTTAATGAAAGACCCAAGTCCTTCAAGACTTACATAAACATGGGGCAGTGGGACAGAGTAGAACAAAAGGGTCCATCTTAATTCATTTTGGAAAATTAAAGAGCCTCTTTGGATTACACAACAGCATACTTGGCCTGCGGTGAGAGCAAATAAGCCCTTCTGGTTGCTAAGAGACCCATAATTTAATCCCCTTCCCCTGATCTACATGTGAAGCCCAGCAGAAAGAAAAAGGAATGAAAGCRATTTTGATAAAGCTTTGAAAATAATGCCAAATCCAGCAACGAGAAAATCTTACCTTTTGGATGGAAAGTTCCACAGGAGGTGAAAGAGTCCCCTCCCCCTGCTTTTTTTCCTATACTGCAGCTGCAAAATTAAAAAGTTTGCTTTTCTTTCTTTCCCTCCTTCCATCCTCCATATCAAACATGGTGCATACCTCAGGAACTTGATTGTCCACTGGGAGAATTGTAATGTTAAAGCAGATCCCGTGCAAAGTGCCACCATGCTGGTTACTGATGGAAAAGGTGAACTGGACATGTCGGAGATGAGGRCCTATATCTTGCATGGGTGGCATGTAGGCCACTTTCATATAGTTCACAGCATGCTGCAAAGCAAATTGAGATGGACATATGAGTACTGATTTGCAAGGATCCGAAATCTGTGTCCCAAGAAAATCATCATGCTAACTGATATTGAATACTGTAAATACCACCATCACCAATTTAAAGATTCTCAAAAGTTCTATGTAATAAATCACATTTTCTATACATAAGGAAGAAAAATGAAAAAGAAATTAAAACGTCTAGTGCATAAAGCCAGCCAACTCTATAAAAGGAAGGAGACTAGGGTGAAATACTAGGATGAAACACCTCTGCCTTCTAGTAATTGTGTGATATGGGCCCTGCTGCTTAAATGTGTTAGGCCTGTTTTTTTTTATTTGTGAAATATAAAAAAAAGTACTTACCACATGGGGTTCACATACTCATTTACAACCTCTAACTATGAGGAGATTAAGCCTAATTAGCTCCAAACCACAGAAGTATCTGCTGCCTAAGCACTCATCACCATTACTGTGACTCCCATAGGATCATCAGAGTACAGTCCACAGGTGAACACGCAGTGAAGGATTTTGGAAGGTGGTTAAGTATTATGAAATGAATTGTGCCCACTTCATCACCCTGCCAAAAAACAGATATGATGAAGTCCCAACCCTTCCTACCTCCAAATGTGAACTTAYTTGGAAACAGTGTCATTATGTATGTAATTAGATAAGATGGGGCCATCCCAGGGTAGGGTGGACCCTTAATCCAACGTATCTGTTGTCCTTGAAATAGGAGGAGAGAAAGACACAGGGAGTCGTGTGATAACAGAGGCAKGAGAGTGACATATCTCCAGGCCAACTAGAAACTAAAGATTGCAGGCCAACTGCCAGAAGTTAAAAAGAAGCAAGGAAAGACTGCCCTAGAGGGTTTCAGAAGGAGCACCACCCTGCCAGTATTGTGATTTCAGACCTCTGGCTTCCAAAGCTGTGAGGAAATAAGTCTCATAGCTTTACACCACCCAATTGGTGGTATGTTGTCATGGCAGCCCTAGGACACTAATGGAGGAAAAACAACGAGTGAAGTGAATTTGGTGGAATAAAAATTCAGGCGTGGGGGGTCCCAAATCAGTGTCTTGCTGCTGGAAAAATAGAGGGGATGGGGAGCTGTATTAAATTATGACAAGATTCTAAAATCATACCCAACCTGATAAAGCACTTTCAAATAGATGACACATGCTTAGTAAAAACAAAACGTGCAAGCAGAATGAATAAAAAACCTCAAGCATTTGTGGCAGATGKCAAGAGCCAACATCCTCAGGTGCGACACTAAGCATGTCATATCTTCTCAGAGGACACGTCATGTGGTTCAACATTATAGCAAATCATCATACCTGAGTAAATGACCTCAGCCCCAGGGCTGTAGGATTTTTGGTTAGCTTTGGTATGCTRTCCACCATGAATAATTTCCCAGCATCCAAATATCTAAAGAGAAATACAGGAAAGAATATATCAGCTAATTTTCCAGCTAAGAAAGGTGAAGTCAGATGGCTAATACCAAWTTTTCAAAAACTAAAAGACCTTACCATGAGAAGAAATAAAGTGTTCCATCTTTATATTCCCTTCTTATGCTGGGGGCTACTGGCCTTAGGTCCAGTATCACCAATTCCACCTTCATCATGATTGCAGAAAGTATGTACAAAWTTTTTTGCTTTACCATCATGAAAGGGAATAATTATCCTAAACATTCTAAAATTTTTCCTTGTTACCATGAATACAGTACCAACCTAAAATATATTCATGYTACTTTTCTGGATTGAGATCATAGAATATGATAATTTCATGGCCTGTAATACCTAAAAAAATAATGTTATGAAGACCTTAATACATTTTACCAGAAAGAAAAATCAATATTATTTTTAGAAAATAGGAATTGAAGACCATTTTCAGCTACCTATGCTGAAAACAATGCAAACACTTACTAAGGAATAAAACTTTAAAAGGGAGGTATGATACAAGTTTGAGGCAAAAGTAAATGCTAAATTGGATATAAGTTCCCACTGGCCAACAAAGCAATTGAATCATAGTACTACTATATATGGACACTTTTGTTTGTCCAACCCCAGTAGACCATATGATGACTATTCAGATATACCTGTCATTGAAAGAGAAACAGGGAGGAGTGGTTATTGTGTAGAGCAGCTCCCTATCGTAAGATTCTGTATCTAGGAAATGTAGATGCTTYTTCGTTATGTAGGCCACCTCTGTTTCCTTGACAACCAAATGCCGAGAAACCCCAGGAGCCTCTTTTGGAAGCTGGTCATCCACTGGAGTGATATGGATGGTCACCACCTGGAATGAAAATACACTATTCATTTAGAAAACACCAAAGAGGATGTCCCACAAMCACCTAGTCACAGTTAAGATGACATTCAAAAACTGTCATTGATAATACACCTCTGTCAAAKGATTCAGGAGCTACTAAGGAGGTGATCTAAAAATGGAAATCCTTTACTCATTGGATATTGTATTTTTAAAATATAATTATCACAATTATAGTTAATTCAACCAGAAGGGCTATTGAAAGGGCATAGAAAGCACAAAATAGGATCTTGATTTTGATTTCCATCTCCCAACAATCTGTGCTTTCTCTGATACTTCCTACTACTCAATCATTGATCCTAGCAACATTAATATACCTCTTGATTCCTCCTTCTCCACTCACATTGAACACATCATCAAGCTTCTACTTGTAAAATCTCCCTTAGAGAAACTACCCCAATCTGCAGGTGTCATTCCTACTTACACTGGCCTAGATCTTATCACTTCTTCCTTGACTGCTCCAGTCTTCTGTTAGCCCTAACTCCAATCACTGATCTAGGTTTTTCATATCCCTAGTGTTATCTTTTAAAAACACAAGTCAAACCTCCTTAAAAATCTTAAACAAGCACCCAGGGAATATAGAAGTATTCAAAATCCTTAGCCTGGCATTTGAGATCCTTCACACATCCTCTATTTTCAACTATATTTTTTACCAACTTTCAACATTAATTCAAAACTCTTGTTGCACACAGTGGTGGACCATGGCTAGCCCCTAAGGACATGTCTATGTTTTGTATCATGTTTCTTCAATCTGCTTCACTCTGCTTTTGCTTTCTTTAGCAATCTGTCTCTATCACCCTTMAAGGCTCTTCTTCAAAACATCCTTCAATTTCTCAGTTGGAATTAATTGTGTTCTGAATTTTGTCSTAAACATTCTAAAAATATTTCCTTGTTATCAATGTATATAGTACCAGCCTAAAGTATACCTTATTATGGTTTAAATGCTGTGTCCCCTCCAAAATTAATGTTAAAACTTAATCTCCAATGCAATGGTGTGAAGAGGTGGGGCTTTCATGGGGCAGTTGTGTCATGAGGGCTCTGCTATGGATTAGTGCTTTATAMAAAGGCTTGAGGGCATGAATTCATCCTTCCATCCTTTCTGCTTTGTAAAGACACAACATTCACCCTCTCCAAAGGATGCAGCGACAAGGAGCCATCTTAGAAGCAGAGAGCAGCCCTCACCAGATWCGGAACCTGCTGGTGCCTCGATCCTGAACTTTCCATCCAGAATTTTGAGGATTATGTTTCTAGTATTTATTAATTACCCATTCTCAGATATTTTGTTATAGCATTGTGAATATGACTAAGGCATCACTTAAATAACATACTTATGTCATCATCTTGTATTGTCTTTTTCTTAGACTGAAAATTTCATGAGGACAGGATCATGGTACAGTACAAACTACATTAAATGAAACAGTAAGCAATCAAAGTCCTTAGTGTGCTGTTTACATACTATCAGTTAATTGACCTTGAACATGTTACTCAACTTTTTTTGCTGTCAATTTTCTTATTTCTAAGTTAAGCTAAATATTAACYTCACAAAATTCTACAAAGATCAAATATCGTTATGTAGTTCAGATGTTTGGCATGTGGGTAGATGCTCAATGAATATTACACTCATCTCTGTATCTCCACAACATCTTGCACAATACCTTGTGGAGAGGAAGCATTTCATCAACGACGCTAACTGAATCAGTCAACAGACCCTGGTGATTTTAAGCAGTCTAAACCACACTCACAGGTTTGGGTCATGCTAGATAGTAAAAAGAACTGGCCAAGCTGCTTTTGCCATCACCATCAACTCTTTAGAGTAACCCATGCTTGGCTACAAGAACGCTGTGAYTTCCTCCCTCTGGAAATGGCACACTGCATATTGCTTAACATTGTGGTCTTTTCACATTCTGCCACATGAAAATATTCTTACCTTGGTTTTGATTTATTTTGATGTTGTCATTGAAGCACAGATCAGCAATGGCAATTTTGTCTACAACAATGGTGTTTACTATACCAATTTGAAAATGAAGATAATTCCCTTTTAGACTAACATGAAAATCAGAAACTAAAACATGATTAAGCTTTTGTTATGATATAAAAAGACCTAAACATCAGTCAAGCCTATAAGCTGTGCTCCCTGGCAGAGATCATTTAACCCCTTGGGGACTCAATTTTCTTCTTTTTCTGTACATTAGACAATAACAATGGCTTTTATTATGAGATATATTGTCAGGATCAAACAAGACAGCAGCACAGTGAGTACTAGTACTTAGTAGGTGCTCACAAAGTTAATTCCTTGTCTATATCCTTTCATTATTTTTACAAAAGCTTACAGATGTTTACTATCCATTATGAAGCATTTTTTGATAATTAAAAACTAAAGCTGGTTATCAAAATAAAGGAACACAATGATAGTCATTTCTCTAGTCTCCTGGAATCTGTGTCATGATTTTTTTCTCTAATTATAGTATTTTGCTAATCTACAAAGTTCAGAAATTCTCTATGGGACCTCCCAGCCATACTGTGGATCAGTGAGTCCCCACTTAATTGAAAAACTGGATTTAATAAGGAAACAATAGTTATTGTGCCTTCAAAGAGACCATTTTCCATGCTAATTTATTCTCCGACGTATTCTTTATGTAAAAAGAATGTACAACCATGCTTTTTTATACCCCTGTAGTAATTCTTGGTGGGCACATTTTTCAACATGCTTTATGATTGCCTAAGTTGATGTTTCTTTAAATATTTATGCATGTTCAAACAATTATTGTGTGTTTGTCTGTGGGTGACAAAAATCCTATTTTAACAAAATCCACAGAGAAATAAAGCATTCTCTTTGTWCTGAAATCTGGTTATAACAAAAGACATTATTAAACACCCATTCCCAGGCAAAGAGTGGAGAACTAGTGCTCAAGCCAATCACTAGGCCTTTTGCCCGCTATATTCCCCCAACTCCCTGCAGTCACACACAGACTTGTAAGGAACCTGAACATAATCAGAAAGTGAAAAATCAGCATTCAAAATGATACAGTCTGACCTTGGCCTCAAATTCAGGCTCTAATATAATATTCCACCAGCTGGCACCTGACTTTCTTATAGGCCTGAATTCTTGATCCTTCCTCTGCCCTAAGCTCTGATTTCTGCCTGATTGTTATTTTGCTTCTTCTTTTGAGAATATTCAGAATCATTTCTCACTCTTGTGAACTACTTTCAGGGTCTTTTGCCCGCCCTTCTAGATACAGTAGTTTGTGCAAGTTTTTATGGAAATACACTAAGTGTTTCTTTTAACAAGGTGACTTTAAAATGCTGTTGAGATAGACATGTAGTAGTGTCAAATGAAGCTGAGGACATAGACAAGTGTAAGCTAGAGAAATAGTCATCCTCTGGTATCTGCAGGGAATAGGCTCCTGGACCCCTCATGGATGACAAATCTGTGGATGTTCAAGTCCCTTATATAAAATTGAATGGTATTTTCATAAAACTTAGGCACATCCTCCCATAAGCTTCACGTCATTTCTAGATTTCTCATCATATCTAATATGATATAAATGTTATAAATACTAGTAGTATAGTATTATTTAGAGAATAATGAGGGGAAAATAGTCTATATTTTCAGTACAGATCCAATTCTTTTTCTAGTATTCCCTATCTTTAGTTGGCTAAATTTGTGAATGCAAAACAGACAGACAGCCAACTTATTTGGGAGACAGGATACGTGGTACATAAAGACAGAACAAATGTGTAGACTTGTCTGTCTCTTAAAATAAGTTAAGAAGGAAGCAGGGCTGGGACACTGATGCATTCAGATAATTCCTGCAACTTGGGAAGCTGAGGCAGGAGGATAGCAAATTCCAGGCCAGCCTCAGCAACTTGGCAAATCCCTCACTTAGAGAGACACTGTCTCAAAATAAAATAAAAAGGCTGGGGATTTAGCTCAGTGGTAAAGTGCCCCTGGATTCTATCCCTAGTACTACCMMAAAAAATTATTATATTTATATATATAAATTATATATATATATGTATATATAATACATATATACACACACAGATATATATAAAATAATTTAAAGGAAGCAGATGAAAATGTGGTTATGACCTCTTTAAAAATTTATCCATCATAGGGATAAATTTATATAAGCAGATCTACAAAGTTTAGTCTGATTTATTTGACCAGATTTAGAAATAATTCTCTTTGATTGTTTCTATTACCTTGGACTTTACTGAAGAGAGATCTCACATTCATATTTGTGCATATCACACAATGATGTATAAAATATGCAGCAACAAAGGAAGATAAAAGAAGTCAGCTGGGTATGGTGGTGCACGCCTGTAATCCCAGTGCTCAGGAGGCTGAAGGAGGATCATAAATTTAAAGCCAGCCTCAACAATTTAGCAAGGTCCCKAGCAAATCAGCAAGATCCTGTCTCAAAATAAAAAGTAAAAAATAAAAAGGCTGGGGATGTGGCTCAGTGGTTAAGCATCCCTGGGTTCAATCCCTGGTACCAAAAAAGAAAAAGGAAAAGTCCTAAAGATTTACTTTTAAAAAGACACAGAGTCTTCTGAAAGTAATATGGTGTTCTAACTCAGGATGAATAGATACAAAAGATTAAGAAATAAATCCTATTAATAATTTCCATTTTAACTTATCAAGTCAACTAAGGAATCAAAAAAATTTAACAAAGAAATGCAGTATAATACAGTGATGAAAAGAAAGGGTTGTTATTTGAAAAGTATTTGACTAGTTAGTCCAAAGGCAGATGAACTGAGAGTTTTATTCATTCCTCAGTCCATCTTAAAAGGAATAGTGAAGATCCCTCAATTTCAAAGCTCCCTKACATCATTCTTTCTTATCATCTCCTTCCATTAAGTCATTGTACAGATCAATAGCTCAATCATCTGTACATTAGCTAATCTCAGTGACTGTGAAATTATGAGAAGATATCATATGACAAACAAGACACATGCTTTCAGTA